CCCGCTTTGCCCCCCACTTGGAGAAGTGCCTGGGAATGGGTCGAAACAGCAGCCGAATCGCCAACCGTCGGTGAGAACCTTTTGCTTCCAGCATGGGTGATGCGATCTTTACCATCATGTAGTCTGGGAGGAGGTCACCAGTAGGGTACAGAGGGTGGGCTGTACTTGCTCCTCACATGCTTCACTATAAAATAGCGTGCAGACGTGCCCTGATTATTTCTCTTCTCAATTCTGGGCAGGATTGCCAATAGCAACAATATGAACAAGTCTGAGAGTGACCAAGAAGATAATGATGACATCAATGACAATGACTGGTCCTATGGCTCAGAGAAGAAAGGTATTTGGGGATCAGGGAAAGCCTGGGAGAAACTGGGGTGAGGTGGGAAAGTAGGGGTAGAGTATATATTTGCCTTAAACTGTCTCAGTGATGGGGGAGGAATGCAGTTTCTGAAAGCATGTAAGTGCTCTGAGAATGAGAATGTAAAAGTAACCATATTCTTTGTTCTGTTGTCCCTCAGCCAAGAAGAGAAAATCAGACAAGGTGAGAGCCGGGGCGAGCATGGGGGAAGTCTGGGTGAAGGACAGATACCCTCTCTTTTGGGCAGGGAATGCTCAGGTCTTTTGACTCAAGTGTGAGGTCACTGGGGGTCATTTTAGGTTTGGGAATAAGGGTGTCTGGTGGGCAGGGGAGCTCCAGAGGTTTTGCTGGTGGGTGGGGGGAAGGGAATATAGGCAGATAGTCTCTTACTGGGGACAAATAGTATGAGTTTGAGGTCGTTTCTTTGTCAAATCTTTTTTCCTTCCCTGGGTTCTCGGCTCCCCCTTATCGTTGCCCTTTCCCCAAAGCTATGGTATCTCCCATTCCAGAACCCTAATTCCCCTCGAAGATCCAAGTCTTTAAAACACAAAAATGGTAAGTGGGGACAGACCAACAGGTCATTGCTAGCTGTATTGTTACAGGCCTTGGGTGGAAGGGAGGCGAGGGGGTAGGAGTGTGAGGGAGGGCCTGTGATCCTTCTGTCACCCCCACTTCCTCTCTGGTTATTTTCAGGGTTCTCTGTCTGTACCTCTGCATCAAACACCCTTCCCCTTCTTTTTTCTTCTTCAGGGGAACTTAGCAACTCTGATCCTTTTAAGGTGAGTAGAAGCTGCCCTTTCCATGCTTCTTCCCATTGCTCTTGTGAGGTGGCTGGGATTTGGACAAGTGAGGTCAGGATGCTGACAACTAAAGGTGCTTGTAGAGCTATTTAAGTCTTGGGTGTGCGTGTTCCTTGTGGGTCCCGTCTTGCCCAAAAGCAGGTATGTTGGAAGGATTCTTAGAAAACTGCATGGAGGCAGGGATGAGAGGGACTTACATTCCCCACCCCTTTCCTGCCTTCTTCTTCTTCTTTTTTTTTTTAAAAACTTCTCTCACCTGTACCTCTGGTTCTCTCACAGTATAGCAACTCAACTGGGATCAGCTATGAGACCCTGGGGCCGGAAGAGCTGCGGAGCCTGCTCACCACGGTGTGTAACTTGGAGAGGGAGGGAGTTTGGTTTGGGCTGAGCAATGGGTAGATGTCGGGACCCTGAAGGTGACAGGTGACATAGCAGCAGGAACCATAGTTCTCTCTGAAAGTATGCTTCCTGGTCCACCTGGTCTGGGGCTGGTTTCTGCTTGGTGTAGAGGGAGCATATAGTGTTCTGGGTAGGTCCCCTACCCTTCCTTTCAGCTATGTTCCTCTTTCAGCAATGTGGAGTGATTTCTGAACATACCAAGAAGATGTGCACAAGGTGAGCACAGACAGACACTAAAAAGGGGCCGATCTTGGGCATGGGTTGGGGATACCTCTGGGATTTGAGCAATGGGCCCCCATCCTTACCCTCCCTTCATCAAACTGGCCTTACTTACTTAGGCCGCCATCTGGAGATTCACCACTGACTCTTTCCCTGTCCCTCCAGCTTCTGCTCCACCTGAGTTCCTGAAGTCCTTCCCTGCCTTGTCAGGGTCTGATCATTCTGTCCCCACCAGGTCACTACGCTGCCCGCAGCACACGGATGAACAGAGGCGAACCGTACGGATTTATTTCCTTGGGCCCTCAGCGTAAGTGACCTTTTCAGAAGGATGGTGGGTCAGGCTGGTGATCTCTTTCCCTAACATGCTGCTCTGACTCTTTCCAGCGTCCTTCCGGAGGTCGAGAGCTCCTTGGATAATGATGGCTTTGACATGACTGACAGCCAGGCCCTCATCAGCCGGCTTCAGTGGGACGGCTCTTCTGATCTCTCACCTTCTGATTCAGGCTCCTCCAAGACTAGTGAAAATCAGGGATGGGGTCTAGGTAAACAATGCCAATTAATCTCAGGGGCTTTTGGTGCTGGGCCACCTCCCTCCCTCCACAGCTCCACTTTCATCCCTTGTGCCTCCTTTTCTGCAGGTACCAACAGCTCTGAATCACGGAAAACCAAGAAAAAGAAATCCCATCTGAGCTTGGTAGGGACTGCCTCCAGCTTGGGCTCTAACAAAAAGAAGAAGCCAAAGCCACCGGCTCCCCCAACGCCCAGCATCTATGATGACATCAATTGACTTGGGTGCAAGGGATAGCCTTTGGCTGAGAGAGCCCTCTCTCCCGACCCCCACCCAGGCAGCACAGCCTGGCATACGGACAGCTGCTGGGGGTTTGGGCCTGGGAAGCTTGGTGGGCCAGGCAGGCAGAGGATCCAGTTATGTGCCCCTGGGGGGTGTCAGGGTCCTCTGCAACGAAGCATGACCCCTCGGCGTGCAGGACTCAGACCTGGACATATTATGCCTTGGACATAAGTTTGGTGGGGAGGCGGTTTTCCTATTTATTCTGTGAGTTACTGGATGTCCAGCTAGGCTGGGGGCCTGACCTGGGCACTGTGCCAGGGCCCTGCCTGCTCCCCACCCCAGGAACTGGACTAAGCCCTGCCGAGGGGCATTGGGGCTACCCAGGCGGCTTTGGGTTGGAAGCTGAGCCCAGAGGGGGCCTCCCCTGGCTGCCCTCAGCAATGTGAATGGGTCCGGTGCTTGGAGCTGAGGGGCAGGGCTGGTATGTCCTCTCTGTGTGCAGAGTCCTATCAGATGTCCCCAGTCCCCCGGGGTCGGCAGGCGCAGTGCTGTCTGCTGAGGTGGGCATCTAGAACTGCCTCACAGAGGCAGCCCTTTTCCCTCAGTCCCCATGGGCCTCCTTGGCAGCAGGAGCTGTCCTTTTGTTGTTGGGTGCCGGGAAAGGGCCTCCAGCCTCTACAGCTTCAAGGAATGGGAAGGGGAGGGTAGGAAGAGGGAGCCTGTATCAGAGTGGCCCCCTGCCCTCCCTGCCCCAGGGCTGTGAGGAGCGGCCCAGGTGAGAGGGACGGTGCTGCTTTATTTGAAATGTTTCTTACCTCATTCCCTGCCCCAGGAAGGGGCCCAGCCTCACCCTCCTGGGGTGGCCCCGTGTTCCCCCTTTCCCTTCCCCCCGCCCTGCCCTGCTGGGGCAGCCTGAGTTCCCAGCTGCTGCTTGCCACCCCTTCACCTTGACCAGCTTCGGCTCCTCCAGTGCTCCCACCTCTAAAGCCTGCCCTACTCCCCTTCCCTTGCCGCTTTTAAGTTATTTATTCTGTACTTGTGGTTTGGGGCTCTGAGGAAAAACCCTAATCTTGTGCCTCTCTCCCTTTGCTAGGAGTAGGGTGGGATGAGGTAGTCTCTGCCCTGGGTTGTCAGCCGAGGTTGGAGGGAGTGCTGTTACCCCCTATGTGGGACGGTTATGCCAAGGTACTCATCAACCTGGCCTACGTGTACTGTTCCACCTCCAGGCGGGTACCATCTTGCCTTGGAGCTGGAGGACCTGGCTGTGGGCTGGAGTACACCTGGCTGACAGGGATGGGGTTGACCCCCGAGCCAAGTTTTCTGGCACTTGCTCTACATGTCCCCTCTCCTCCCAGGAGGAGCCTGGGTAGGAGTACTAGGTAGCTAGTACCCAGGACTGGTTGGACTGATTTGGGTTAAGGGAACAAAAGAATTAGGGTTGCAGTACCTTGTCTGGAACCTCAGTCTCCCCCTGGGGTGGTTCTGATTGTGGCTGATGGCTGGTTACAATTTGGTTTTTAACCCAAGCATTATGATTATTTTTTTAAAAAGTCAAACCAATTTTGGCAGGAGTTAGAATAAATCCTGGAGCCTGGGCTTCTCTGTCCTTGGCCCTCCACAGCCTTCTCCCGTGAGGGGGAGAGAAGGTTCTGGGGCCACCCCCCACCCCCACCCCAAGCACAGGCTTGGGAGCCTGCTGAAGGTCAGGGGAAGCAGGTTCAGGCCGCTATCCCTTACGAGAAGTAGCTGCAGCTCAGGCCAACTCACTCTCTGCTCTCCCACCTCTCCCTTTCCCTCTGGTTGGAGGGAATAGTTTGGAAACTGGTTTGTCCACAAAATGTCCCCCGTTGTTCCTTGGCTCACCCTCAGGGCAGAGCCCCCTGCCCAGGCTGGGTAAGAGATGGGCTTGGTCCAGCAGGGACCCTGAGGGAACAAACCCTTTCCTTCTGGGGAGTATGCCCTCCCTACTGTGTAGTTGAACAGGGGCTAGGAACTCCCCACTCCCTCCCTCTTAACAGCAGGCTGTGTGGGTTTCAATTCCCATCCTCCCCACCCTGGCTAGGTGTCGTCCCTGTATCCTATCATGTGTCTGAATGTGTGTGGGGGGGTTCTGTACTAATTTCCATGGCCGGTGGCTTTTCCTTCCATGCATCACTCCCCCCCCGCATGCCCAGGGGCCACCCGCCTGGCATTACCGCATGCTGGGGTCATTGGGGGAGGGGGGTGGGGCTCACGCTGTCCTGTGGTCTTGAGATTTTTATTTTTGCATATGTAATCCATCCTGTACAGGTAGCTAACTTTGTAAACGCTGTGTATTCCCCTCTGCCCCCATGGCTGCTGGTGTAAATAAACTGCATCTCCCGTTGGTAGCCTGGCCTACTTACCCTCATTATTACCATGTTGCTGAGGAAGGGCAGAGCAGTCACAAAGAGGCTCCATAGCCACAAGATGGGAGTTTATTTGCTCATACTGACTGGCCATCTAAGGGCCTAGGGTAGGGTAGTCTATACCCAGAGTTCGTCCTTGGAACTGAGCAGGGCACTGGATTAGAGCCAGTGTTCTTTTGCAGTCTTGGGCCTAGGTTAGCGGCAGCTGTGGCTTGGTCTCAATGCTGGGGGCTTGGCCTTCTGCCCCAGTCTCCTTCCTGACTAAGCTCTATACAAGACTACTTAGAAAAAGAAGGGCAAGCAAAGTGCTTTGAAAGAAAGCAAAATTTCCTATTCCTGCTACAAGGGGCACAGGGAGGAGGTGGTAGCTGGGTGCTATAGGGAGAGTTGGCAGTCTTCACCCCTGCCTGTGAATTTAAGTTTCAAAAGATCCACTCATCTAAGGAGTGAAAGTTACTTCAGGCTCCCTACAGGGGTACACTAAGGCCATGCTGAGCTGCCCTGGCAGCAACCCTGGGGTCTAGGGAGCAGACATGCAAGACACCGGGAAAGGGCTAGGGCCGCAGCCAGGAGGGAAGACCTAGGGTCCAGGCTTCTCATCGAGCTTGGCCTTTGAACCTTGGGAATCCAAAAGAAGGGAGATGATATCCTTGTTTCTACCTGAGTTGTGCTTGCAGAGATATCTGTACCCTGTGGACATAAAGGGAGGCCACATACCTGCCTCTTGGGGCCTATGAACAGGGTACCCACCATATCCCTCCCTCCCAGGTCCTTGGGCCCAGCTCTGGCCAGGAAAGGGGGAGGCTGTGATGGAGGCAGACCGTGCCTCTGTCTCCCAATGCCCTTATCTTCCATACATCCCAAATACTAGGAAGCTGAAGAAGACCGTGACTCCCACCAAGGAGACAGTGGCAGGTGCTGTGAAGAACTGGCGGTAATTGATGCGGAAGTACCAGACCACACCCAAGAGCACCACAAACACAGGCACCATAAGGCTGCCCACGTTGACACCAAGGCTGGATGGCTCAGTGCTTGAGGGGGTCAAAGAGGCTGAGGGGCCAGAAGCAGCTGCTCCTGGGGGTGAGCGGTGGCAGTGAATCACGCAGTTGTTGGTAATGTTCAGGGAGCTCAGCGTTCGTGCTGGGTCCTGCAGCAGCCGGCCCTGGTAGATCAGTTTCATCTGGCTCTCTTGTCCAGGGAAGTATTTGCTAGAAGGATGAAAGGAAAGACTGGATAAAGAATAAAGATACACAAGCCTGGACCAAGAAAAGCAGGGCATGGGAGAACGTGATGGGCTATGAAGTCTTCCATCTCCCCTTAGCAGAGGCCAGCCCTTGAAATTCCTCTATTGCTCGCAAATCTGCACCAACTCCTTTAGGGAAACCAATGGCTAAGGCACAAGTCATGAGCAACTCTTTTTCCCAGCCTGCTACTCACCTTTTTAGGGTACCCACAGTGTCCTCTGGCCTGGCTACAGCTAGCTCCTCGGTGTCATTGAGGAACTTGAGGCGAACATTGATGAGGCTTGTGCTGGGAGAGAGGCAGGTGCTGTCATCTAATCCTAGTGGAGCTTCTGGACGGCTGTTCTCTAGGCCTGCTTGTCTTTTGGGCAGGCCTTGGATGTCCAGGAGATGCTCAAGGCTGGGCTCCATCTCTCCCCTGGCTCCAGGTTCCCCGGTGGCATCTCCCCCGCTGTCACTGGTCTCTTCAGCCTTCTCATCACTATGCTCTGACGGATGGGGGAGTTCGGTTGGCTCTGGAGTGCCTTGGCTTACCAGCTGGTCCACGTGCCCCAGGTGGAGAACAGATGTGTCGCCAGCCGACACAATGGTGCCCAGCAATTGGTTGTTACTGCTGTCTGCTACGTAGGTAGAGAGCCAGGCTAGGACCAAGGCTAGAGTCAGCACCACCACACCTGCCACCACCATCACCTCATTACCCACACCCTCAATGAGGGTGACATCAGAGAGCTCCATGGCCTGGCTGCTGACCGGGTCCACACTGCAGGAACAAAGGGGTACAGCATCAGCAGAGCCTGAAAGGTTATAACCAAGTTTCTAGTTTAAGTTCTGAGTCAGGCTGGGAAAAGAAAAGATGGGAGTTTGGTGTTGTGTAGGAAGGACAGCCAACCTCCCTGACTACAGCAGACCCTCAATCTCAAGCTAAGGACTTACCCTTGGCCTCTATTATGAAACCTCTATTACAAAGCTTTCAGATTCTATGCCCATAAGCAGCACGGGTCACAAGAAAAGCCTCATAAGCTTGTCACCAGCTGCTGACCTCTTTATTTATTTGTTTATTTATCTGGAGGATAATGGAGAAAGAACATTTGTTTCTTCTCTTCTTCTTTTCACAGGATTTCTCTGTATAGCCATGGCTGTCTTGGAACTACTTGCTCTATACACCAGACTAGCTTCAACCTCAGAGAGCCACTTGTCCCTGCCTCCTGAGAGCTGGGATTAAAGGCATGTGCAACCACTGCCCAGCTTACAGTTGCTTCTTTAGGCCTGGAGTTTCTCTAGGATTTCTAACACACGGTCAAACACATATGTTCCCCCCTCTCCCCAGCAGCCTCAGTGGTAGCTTCAGAGAATAAAGAGCTTCCTTCAGCCAGGTAGTGGTGTTGCCTGCCTTTAATCTCAGCACTTGGGAGGCAGAGGCACACTGGCAGATCTCTGTGAATTTGAGGCCAGCCTGGTCTACAGAGTGAGTTCCAGGATAGCCAGGGCTACACAGAGAAACCCAATCTTTAGAAAGCAAATTAATTAATTAACTAACTTAAAAAAAAAAAAAAAAAAGACTCCTTCCTAGGTACTATGTAGCCATCCTTACCAGATTCTCATTTGATTACATTTCATTCATGGCCACACATCCATTCATGCCCAAGATCCAAAATAAACATATTTTGATCTATCAAGGACAGAATGAGATCATTTCAAATAGATAAATGTATTGGGACTATCATAAGACACATTTGTCTCTTATGAAACTGTTCTGGCAAGTTCTGGGGAGCCACATGGGTAGACACCAGAAACATTACCCTCTTTGGTCTCCATGGTTGACTCAAACTGCAAAATCACTGCTTCAACATATACTCCAGTTATCTCAGAACTTGGGAAATAAAGGCAGTAGGATTCAGGGGTTCAGGGCCAGCCTAGGCTACATGAAATACCTTCAAGAAAACCATTTCCCAAGTAGAAATTATTTGGAAAAATTTCCCAACAGTTCCCACAATCTTTATTTTAGTTTGTCTTGTGCTGTAAAGGCTCTCCCTCTCTGCAGTTTCTGAGAAAATCATGGAGGCTCTCTGCATATTCCTTGGAGTACTTTCTCTTTTCCTCGGAGAATCTACTTTCACAGCTGTCCCTGTGAAATCCATCAGGTGATTATCATTACCAGACTATTCTCACAGCACCCATAAAACGTCATTACACTTATAACCTGTCCATCTCTCCATTGGCCCCTGGAAGATAAGAATCAAGGGTAGTTCTCTTTGTATGAAGCCACAGTAGCTGCTCAAAGAACATTTGTGGAACACACCTACATTCGAAGAGTTTCCACGGCCTTAATTAACAAACTGGCCCTGGAGTCTGGGAAACAATTAAGGATGGCAGTCTAGTCCCTCTTCCAGCTATGTAACTTCCAACAACTTTCTCAAAGCCTCAGCTTTCTGATCAGTAAAGTGAGGATTAAAATGGTTACCTACCTCATAAGGTTGTTTTGAAGATGACGTGAAATCATCGAAGCAAAATAATTAACACTGTTCGATAAACAAATGATAGCAATTATGTCTTACTCCCACAACTAACCCCTGATGCTAAGGTTAATGTCACGAACTGTGATTTAGACACACACACACACACACACACACACAAACTGTGGCGAAGACAGATGGAAACAGAGGACACAAGGAACTGCGTGGGCAGGAGCCAGCTAGGACCCCCGTATCTGCCTGTTCAAAGGCCTCAGCTTTCTCGTCCGCTGTGGACTACCCTGACCGCGCAGTGGGGAGTCGTCCCGGACCGTGCCTTTTTCTGAGGTTCTGCGTCCGAGAGGTCCTAGTCCCGTGTCAGTAGAGTCCATGAGCCCCCCTCCGCCCCGAGACGAAGGGCCTCCAGGTTGCGGACGCAGTGCCCAAGCCCGGCTCTCCCGGGCTGATGGTTAGGGTCAGGTGAGGGGGGTCACAAACCATCCACACCCCTCAAACTTCGGGGCGGGGCAGAAGAGCTGGGGGCGGGGCTTGAGGACGCGGAGAGTCCTGGGAAATTAAAGGGGGTTTAGATTGGTGCTGTGCCTGGATCGGGAAGGAGAGCCTCACCTGACAAAGCCAGGATAAATGTTTTAACTTCGCCAGGACAGTCTTTGTACTCGTCTTTCCGTAGGGGCCGGGGGAGGGGCTGGCAACTCAGGATTCTGTCCAGGGTCAGAGCTCTTCCGGCTTTTCTCGGAAGCTGTTAGCATCCGGAACCGGAAGTCCCGCCTCCCCAGCTTGCACTGATGACGCAAAGATACGTAAGGCGGACTGACGTAAAGTAGTCATTAACTAAAAGGGGCCAGGTTGCGCCAAGGCAGGAGGGGCGGAGTCATTGTTGGCGGGATTTCGGGCCTCCGGCGGTAAGGCCACGCCCACGGGGCGTGACCTCAGGCCGTCCAGAGGTCAGAGGCGGGGCCAAAAGAGGAGAAAGCGGCCGGAGGAGGGGCTTGTGGGAGGGGCGTGGCCTTGTGCTCAGAAGACTGGTTTAGCAGGCTGTGCAGGTCAACCGCCGCTGAGTTTCCCTCTTTACCCCGTGTTTTTGGTTTGTGTTGGTTTTTTTTTTTTTTTTTTTTCCGGCCTCGCTCCTGAACTCCGGACTAATGAGATTTATTACTCGCTCCGCCAGTGTGCACCAGGCTCCAATGTTGAGTCTCATAAGGTCTGGTATTTCTGACTTCTAAGAAAGTTGTTACTCGAGGAGACAGGCAAGAAGACAACTTTTTTTTTTTTTTTTAAAGATTTCATTTATTTCATGTATGAGTGTTGTATCTGCGCGTGCGTCTTCATGCCAGAACAGGGCAGCAGATTCCAGTATAGATGGTTGTGAGCCACCGTGTGGCTGCTGGGAATTAAATTCAGGACCTTGCAGCAGGGGACTGCGCTTATCTTCAGAGCCATCTCTCCAGCCCCCCATATTATAGTCTTAAGTACTGGAAGACTGCTGCCCCATGTAGCTTTGACAAATAAAGCAGGAAGGCATTTTAGAGCGACACAGATTCAGTGCCTTCTTAAAAAATGATTTTTTTCTTTGACTTTTATTTATTTATGTGTTTGTAAGTGTGTGCCGTTGTGTGTAGGTGCTTGCAGAGGCCGGAAGAGGGCATCGGATCCCCAGGAGCTAGGGTTACAGGAGGTTGTAAATCGCCAGTCTTGGGTGCTAGGAAGAAAACTCGGGTGTTCTGGAAAGAACAGCAAGCGCTCTTAACATCTCTCCAAGTCTATCATCCTGGATTAGTTTTTCTTATTTTTGTCTGTTAATTCCCTATGTAGTAGAGCAGTGGTTCTCAATCTCTGGGTCTAACAACCCTTTCACAGAGATCACACATCAGATATTTACATCAGGATTCATAACAGTAGCAAAATTACAGTTATGAAATAGCAACAAAAATAATTGGTTCTGGTTGGGGGTCACCACAACATGAGGAACTGTATTAAAGGATCGCAGGGTTAGGGGGGTTGAGGACTGTTGTAGTGGATGGATGACCTGGGACTTCTGCTCTTCCCAGCTCTGCCTCCCAAGTACCAGGATTACAGGCAGGCAACAGCATGGATTGACTCGGTGTTCTGATGGATCCTACCGTCTTGGTCGGTTTTTTGTTTGTTTGTTAATGTATCACATTTTATTTATTGACTGGTGTATTTGTGGGTGTGTGCACTAGAGTCCAGAAGTGGAGCTCAGGGGACAACTTGTGGGACTTGACTCTCTCCTACCATGTGGGTCCCAGGGATGGAACTCATGCCATCAGCCTGTGGCAAGTGCCCCTACACCGTCTTACTGGCCCCTCCTTAGTCATTTTCATGACACTGTAGATGCGATCCTTGTCCTTCTTAAACTATTGAATTTCGAGACTTACGTGTTTTTACTTACTTTTTTTGAGACAGATCTCCAAGTAGCCCAGGCTGACCTAGAACTTTTGACCCTCCTCTCTTAGACTCCCAGGCATCAACCACTATGTTCTCCTTCCTTTTTCTGTGTTCGTTTGTTTGTTGAGTCAGGATCTCGTGAAGTTGCCCCTGAATTCTCTCAGGCTCAGGAAGGCCTTAAGCTTTGTACGTGTCTGACTTAGGCTCTGGAATAATTGGAGTTACGTGACTCTGCCGAAGTACATGGCAGCTAGGCTGTGTGTTCACTGTGTGCGCGTGGGTGTGTGCAGGTATGTATGGAGGCCGTAGGAGTCTTCCTTAACCACTCCATCTTTCTGAGACAATGTCTTTCACTGAACGTGGAGTTAATTAGGCTTCAGTAGCTAACCAGCAAGGCCCAGGGATCTGCCTGCCTTCACCTCTCTAGTGACGGTATTACACATGCGTACAGTACAGCTGTGCCTGGCTTTTTAAAAATTAAATCAATTTAAATTTTTTTTTGAGACAAGGTTTCTCTATGTAGTCCTGGCTGTCCTAGAACTTGCTATGTAGACCAATCTGGCCTAGAAGTCAGAGAGAGCCACCTGACTCCCCCTCCCAGGTGCCAGGATCAAAGGTGTGCACCACCATGCCCCGATTTATTATTATTATTTAATGTGGATGCTGAGGATCAATCTAAGGCCTTCATACTTACACTTTACCAAATGGATCATCTTCTCAGCTCTTAAAATGACTTTTGTTTTGTGTTCTGAGACAGGGTTTCTCTGTGTAACAGCCCTGTAGTTTTGTAGGCCAGGCTGGCCTTGAGCTCACAGATATCCACCTGCCTCTGCCTCCCAAGTGCTGGGATTAAAGAAAGGCATTCACCACCATGCCCAACAAATCTTTTCTTTAAGAAAACAAAAGCAGGGCTGGAGAGATGGCTCAGAGGTTGAGAGCACTGGCTGCTCTTCCAAAGGTCCTGATTTCAATTCCCAGCAACCACATGGGGGCTCACAACCATTTACAATGAGATCTAGTGGCCTCTTCTGCTGTGCAGGTGTACATGCAGACAGAATATTGTATACATAATCAATAAATAAATCTAAAAAAAAAAGAAGAAAACAAAAGCAACATCTCTGAAGCAAGGCTCCCAACTCAGGACAGGGGAGGAAGGGAGAACACATCAGAAATGCCTCTGGCCTCTTCAAGGACTACAGCCCCAGTCTCAGCACCAAGGAGGCAGCTGCAAGCACTTAGTTGAAAAGGCACAATGCAAAGGCAGCCTATCACAGGAGTGGCCACAGATCAGACTCCTGTAGATTTAGTGCTGTCCAGGCCAAAAAAAAAAAAAAAAAAAAAAGGGAAGACTCTGCCAAGCAGTGCTCACCACTCCTGAGAACAGTTTCCAAGAATGGTTCAGTTCTGAAAACAGTAACCAGGTTACTCAGCCTGCGTCACTGGGCCTGTGGAGGGAGGTCAGAGAACACAACAGGATCTTGCCTGTATCTTGTTGAGGTCTTTCTATTTGTTTTGTTTCTGAGACAGGGTCTTGTGTAGCCTAGGCTAGCTCTAAATTCCCCAAACCTCTTGCTTCTACCTCCCAAATGAAGTCAAGTCACCCACTGTGGAGGCTTGGGTTCATTATTTTCAGGTTAGTACTAGGGATCAAGCCTAAGGCCTCCCACGCCCCTGTTGAGTTTTCACTTTGGCTTGATGGTTGAGAAGAGCTACTGAAAGGAATGACCAGAACTGTGATTTTTTTTTTTTTTCTGTTTTGTTTTTGTTTTGTTTGTGTAGCCTTGGATGTACTGGACTCACTTTGTAGACCAGGCTGGCCTCGAACTCACAGCAATTCACCTGCCTCTGCCTCCCTGAGTCCTGGGATTAAAGATGTGTATCACCAGGCCCGGCTAGAATTGTGGCTTTAAGATCATCCCAGCAATCCAGGACACGGGTTTCATTAAGAACTAGAGGTGAGGTTCTGTGATGGCGCACTTGGCTTAGCATGTGTCACGCTCTGGGTTCCATGCCTAGAGCTGAGGGGGAAACAATCAGAACAGCCCTTCCTTGACGCCCTACCCAGAGTCAGGCTGGATAGAAACACTACAGGCCGTGAAGCAGGGTCTGGCTTTCCCCCAAGATCTTGCTAGCTTTGAACTCACAATCCACTACCTCAGCTTCCTGAGTCCTGGGCTTAGAGGTCCATGCTGTCAAGTCCATCTGAGGGCCTGTCACTATGAAAAGGGCTGAGCGGGGGTGGGGGGAGAGCTACACGTGGGATCAGTTGCTTGTAGCTTGGGGAGACGTCTAAAGAGGCCATTTTCTGAAGCATGAGAGCGGTAGGTGTGTGGAAGGTGTTTGGGGAGGACAGGCTGAGAAGGCCTGAAGACCAGTAGGAGGCTTCAGATGTCAGTGGAGGGACAAGCTCCATCTGGAAGGCATGCAGAGTGCAGAGGAAAGGGGGCAACGGTTGGTTTCCCGGGGCTGGGTGTAGGAGCAGGGGGAAGTGGAAATGGCTTGCTCAGAGCTCACTGGATTCGTCCCTCCACACACAGCAGCAGGTAGTCTCTGAGCATCGGGGGCAGGGGGAGCTGGGTAGCAGCCTGCCGGCAGTTGCCACCCAACTGAGCACGGACAGCCAGGCGGGCCAGGTGCTGAAGCCGTCTTGGCTGGTTTTCCATGCTTAGGACTGAGCTGTAGAAGGCTTCATGTTCCTGGGCCAGAAGTAAGGGAGGCTCAGGTGATCCAGTACCCCCGATTTTGCCCTTCCAGGAGATAACCCAGTGGTGGAGGTCCAGGGAATTTTCACATAGCACCCTGCCATGGTATGGGGGATGGATTTCAATCATGTCTGTGGCCACTCCCACCCCAGACAAGCTGGTGGGATTCCCATCAAGTCAGAGGCGACTGATAAATGAATGGCTATCAGCAAGGGACCAGGGAGCATGGGAGGTCAAAAATCTGCCTGTACTGTTCCAGACAGGCCTGGAACCCAGGGGTTTCACTGCCCACCCCTTGTCTGCCCAGCGTCTGTCCTCCCTCTCTGAAACTGGTCTTGAAGCTCGAAGGGAGAGGCCTCTGGCCTCCCTAGCCCCTAGGAAACAGCGTGGCAGTCGGAATGGACCTACCTTCCACAGCTCAGGAAGCACCGCCCCCACCCAGGTTTCACAGGATGGAACGCATGGATAGGTGTTCAGCAGGACTTCCAGGGCCCGAGGAAAGTTGGCACAGTGTTTCAGCATCTGGGAATCAAAATAGGAGCTTAGGAGCTCCATATTGCCCAACTAAGGCAGGCCCAAGTCTGGCTAATAATATAAATCACCACACACACCCTCATCCATCTCTCCCATACCTCGGCCTGCCCCATCCACACCTGCCCCGAGCTCCTGGCCCAAGTTTCCTTGACTCTTATCTTCCTTTGGACACCCTCTTGCTCTCTGCCAAGATGGGGGTGGGCCTCTAGTCCCTGAGGGAGGCTTTTGATCTTCTAGACCCTTCCAGTCGGGGGAGTTCAGTCCCAGGCTCCCCGTTCCCGATTGGCACCGCCTTCCTAGGGCCCTCCCAGCGCACCTCAGGGTGAACAGGCTGAGCCCCATAGTCCAGCAGCGCTGCAAAGAGGACCTCCGGCTCCCAGTTGGGGGCGTCCTGTACCGCCTGCAGCGCGCAGTCCATTGGTGTGTGGCCCGCCCCGTTGGTGACTCCAACGCTGGCCCCGTGGCGAAGCAGCAGCTCAGCCAGGCCTCCGCAGCCATTAGCGCAGGCGTTGTGCAGTGGCGAGTGGCGCTTGCGACCAGCAGCCCGGGGATCAGCCCCAGCTTCCAGGAGGTGTCGCGCGGCAGCCTCGTGCTGCCGGCAGCTGCCTGGCCCCTCCGCTCCAGCGCACGCGGCGTTCAGCGCCGTCTCCCCCTGGCTGGTGCGCAGGCCCACGTCGGCACCGTTCTCCAGGTACAGAGCCACGTGTTGCTCTAGGCCACGAGCTGCAGCCACATGCAGGGGGGTGACTTCACTCTCCTGCGAAGCCACATTCACGGACGCTCCAGCCTCCAGCAGCAACTTGGCGCACCTACGGAGAGGGTGCAAGGCCCCAAGGAAATCCTGAGGACCCCAAGGCCTGCTATCACCACCCATATCCTTCCTACACTTCTGCCTGGAGGTCCGGCCTAGTGTTTCCCCTCCGATCACAGAAAGCCCATTACAAACAGCAGACTTAGGGTGACAGTTGAAGCTGCCAGAAGACCTTGAATTTTCAGATTAAAAAAAAAAAGTTAAGCTTCAAACGGTCTAGTGCAACAGCCAAGAGCACAAACAGCGTTTAACTGATGTGGCAGAATCTGGAGAGTCCACTGGACCTGAACTGATTTACTTTTTTTTGTTTTGTTTTTGAGACAGGGTTTCTTTGCGTAGCCCTGGCTGTCCTGGAACTCACTCTGTAGAACAGGCTGGCCTCGATCTCAGAGATCCACCTGCCTGTGCCTCCCGAGCACAGGGATTAAAGGCGTGCCCCACCACTGCCCAGCTCTAATCTACCTATTTTGTGCTAGGTGTGAAACGTAGGTGCACCCCGCCAGGCAAGCTATCACTGAGCTTACACCCCAACTCTGCCAGACTCAAATTCACTGTGTAGCAGAGTACAATCTTTAACTCCTGATCCTTCTGCCTCCTCTCCTCGCTTGCTGGGGTTACACCTCCACACCCAGTTTCTGTGGTGCCAGGGATCAAAGCCAAAGCTCCGAGCCTGCTTGTTGGTAATCGCTCTACCAACTGAGCTACAACCCCAGTTCCCAGTCTCCTAACATTGATAGGGCGAGATTTGGAAAACCCACTCCCCTGTACACCATGACACCTGGAATATTAAAGTGTGTTAGAAAAAACAGGCTATGTTCTCCCGGTCAAGGAAAGCACTCAGGGACCTCCCTACCCTACTTATCCTTAGAGGAACCAAGCAAAACCAAACCAAACAATTTAGAGAGAACCTGTTTCCCAGTCTCTGAATTCCTGGAAAAATTACAGGCCAGCACACCATTAGAGTAAGTTTGCTGTTACCCACCGTGGTGACAGCATGAGATGAGCTAAATTGTCAGTGAATAAGACCAAAGGTAATTTGTAAGAAAAAAGGGCTGTCACAGCTGCTGGAAAGCCAGGGGCAGATCATGTTAGTGAAACTGTCAACTGGAGAGTTCCCCCACCACCACCACCGAATACGATCCAAATCATGGATACAAGCCTCCCCCCCCCCCCCAGTGGCCAAAACCTGAGTAAACTCTGCCTTTGACAAACTACCCAGTTTAATTCTGCAGTAAATTCTAATTGTTGGCATATCTTGACTCCTAATACCGAGCTTAAGAAATGCTTAACAGCTCTCAGTAGGGCTCCAGGAAAGGGTCCTTGTCATCATATTCTAAAGGACACGCTCTGGGAAGATGCTTGAGTGCAGCAAGCTAGAGTTCAGTTTTATCCTAGGACCCAGAAAAGGAGCTGACAATTTCATTTATTGAGGTGGGGTTAGCAAGACCCTGCTGCCAACAAGCAATGAGAAAGGGTTAGGGACGTAAGCCTGAACTGGCCAGGTACTAGCTATTATGTATACCAGACAGGGAATCCTCCTGCCTCAGCCCCCTGAGTAAGGCTAGCAAACTTAGATCACTTTGGGCTCCACCACTGATCTACATAATGGGGACAAATCTCTAGCCGTGGGCGGTGAGTGTCTTAGTCCTTACCTGTCAGCTGAGTCTGTTGAACTGATTTGTAGGAGAGTAAATGCCACCAAGCAGGGAGTCTGAGAAACTGTTGACTTTTGAAAAGTTGACTAGGCGTGGTGGCTCATGCTTGAAATCCCAGGGCTTAAAAGACTGAGCCAGGAAGATCACTCAGAGTTCGAGGCCAGCCTGGGCTACAGTAAGACCCTGCTGCCAAGAAACAAACAACAGAAGAAGGGTTAGGGACGTGAGTCAGATAAGAGTATGCCTGCGGGCTGGAGAGATGGCTCAGAGGTTAAAAACACTAGTTCTTCCAAAGTTACTGAGTTCAATTCCCAGCAACCACCTGGTGGCTCATAACCATCTATAATGAGATCTGGTGCCCTCTTCTGGCCTGCAGACACATGTGCAGTCAGTATAGTGTATAAATAATAAATATATTTTTTTAAAAAACTTAAAAAAAAAAAAAGAGTGTGCCTGCCTACCATGTACAAAGTCCTGGCTTTGACTTCTGAGCATGGTGGTGCATGTCTGTAATTCATTATACTCAGGAAGTAGAGGTAGCCAGGCAACGTGAGCACTGGGGAGCAGAGGCAAGATTTCAATTTCAAGGCCAGTCTGGCCTAAATACCAAGTTCTAGGCCAGCCAGGTATACAGGGAAAGATTCTGTGTCAAAACCAAAATACAGATTTTAAAAATTAACTGGGATTTAAAAATAACTGGGAGGAGAGAGCAGAGCTGAGGGGTACACCTGTAATACCAATACTCGGGAGGCAGAGGCAGGGGGATTATAGGTGTGAGGCCAGCTATATCCCAGCAGAAGGAAAACCAGACACAGTGCTGTAATAATTCCAGCTCCGGGAGAACTGACCCCCTACTGTGGCCTCTTCAGGCCCCTGCACACACGTGCGTAATCACATACACTATACACAGAAACTAAACGGGGCCTCTACGAAAACAAATAGGTGAGGTGCTCTATAGACGACAAAGCTTTGCCAAGTTATCCTCGCGCCTAGGCAGGTGAGCTGCACACACACACACACACATTCCCCACAAAACCATCCCAGGCCACGGGTACCTACTGCAAGGACTCAGGAGCCGTGCAGAGGTGCAAGGGGGTCATGCCCTCCTCAGACAATACATTAGCCTTGGCACCGAATGTGAGCAGCAGCCGGACACAGTCGGGATGGGCTTGGGCACAGGCCTCGTGCAAGGCGGCACGGCCTCCAATTCGGGCATCAAGCTCAGCCCCCTGCAGGATAAGGTGTCGGGCACAGTCTGTGTAGCCTCTGGCCACAGCGATGGTGAGGGGCGCCGTCTGTTTGGTCTTTGGAGTCAGCACCCAGAATCCTGAAGAGAACAGGAAGTACTGTAGGACGTTGTATGGGAGAGCAGGGTGGAGAAGTTCCCTGTGGATGATGGCCTTCCCTAGTTACTGAGCACAAAAAGCCAAGCTATACCTCTGGCTAGGGGTCCACTCAAGTCCTGAGTTGGGAGTATACCTTGAAAGAGCTTTTTAAAATACTTTGTCAGCCAAGGCGGTGGCGGCGCACGCCTTTAAGCCCAGTACTCAGGAGGCAGAGACAGGCGGAGTTCAAGGCCAGCTTGGTCTACAAGGTGAGTCCAGGACAGCCAAGGCTACACAGAGAAACCCTGTCTGTGAAAAACCAAACAAACAAAAACATAAAACTTTGTCAGTGTATAACAAAACAATACACTCCCCAGCACTGAAAAAAAAAAAATCCCACATAGTATGTGTTAAACAAGTTGTTCTATGGAATCTCACAAAGGCTGAAGAAAACAAATAAGCAAATCCTGAACCTCAGGGGCTTTGAGTGGCTTGCAGACTCGGTGGCTCCCTTTATTCACGTCTGGCCCGGATGGTTTGGAGACAGTAGCCACACACAAGTATGTATATGAAGCTGAGCTTGGAAATGGCCAAGAACAGCACTGAGTTTTAGGGCATTCGTGGGGCGAGAGGGTTGCACAGATGCGTGTGTTGGGGGAAGAATGGAGGAAAGACCACGAATGAAAAGAGGGGTTTGTGGATCCCATGCCTGGGGTTGGCTTTGAATGGACTAGGTTCCGTGCTTAAGAGCAATGGCTGCTCTTCCAGCAGACCAGAGTTCAATTCCTAGCATCCACATAGTGACTCACAACTGTCTGTAACTCAGTTCCAAGAGGTCCAATGGTCTCTCCTTGCTTCTCTGGGTACCACACACACAAGGAGTGCACAGATCTACACACTGACAAAACACCCACATACATAAGATTAAAATGTAATTTAAGAAGAAAGGGGGGGATGGGACAGAGTGGTGGGTGGCACACACCCACAATCCCATCGCGCCACTCGGGAAGGAAACAGAGGCAAGCAGAAGTCTGAGTTCAAAGGCATATCAAGTTCCAGGCCAGCCAGGCCTCCATAATGAGACTCCGTCTCCAAAAATAAACAAACAAATAAACAGGGAAAAGGAGCTAGGTATGTGGCTCAACATGCCAGTAATGATGGCATGCCCACACAAACCATCGAGGGCGTCAGGGGAACCCCAGGAAAGTACAGGATAGACCTCAGAGTGCAGGGAGGTTCCAAATGCAGGGAGCAGGGGACAGTGAAACCTGGGTCTGCACGGGCAGCGGAAGAAGGCTTCTTGGAGGAGGTGGCTGTTAGCTCATAAAGAGTGAGTGCAGTGGGACTGGAGGGAACGGCTCAGGGGTTACAAGTGCTTCCTGCTCTTGCAGAGGACTGGAGCTGTGTTCCCAGAGAACCCAGAGCGCAGGCTCACAACCATAGCCCCTAATTCCAGGTTAGGGATTCCATTGTCCTCTTCTGTCCTCTATTGGCACTAGGCATGCATGTGGCACACACACACACACACACACACACACAAGCAAAACGATTGAACACAAAATAAAATAAGGAGAACAATGAGTGTAGCGGTGCGGGATGGGTGCTGACTGGCAGTTTGGTTGGGAGCAGGAAAAGGCAGGGAGCAGGTACCCTAGCACTGTGAGGCCGAGAGCTTGTTTGGAGGTTCTAATAGGGAGCAGGTACTGGTAGACCTTTGACCAAAGGCCAGCCGTCTGTTGGGGAAGGTGGTCCTCTTTGACAGAGCACAGAGCTTTGGGAGGGACACTGGGGTAGTGAGAAAGGAAGAGGCCAGCAGTCAGATCAGCAAAGTCAGCCTGGTGGTCAGTGGGGTGGCAGGTGTCACAACCAGAATGTTCACAACCTGGGTCAGGTGACTTTTTTTCTTTTTCTTTCCTTTATTTCTTTGTTTCTTTTCTTTTCTTCCTTCCTTCCTTCCTTCCTTTCTTTCTTTCTTTCTTTTTTTCTTTCTTTCTTTTTTTCTTTCTTTCTTTCTTTTTTGAGATAGGGTTTCTCTGTGTAGCCCTGGCTTGGCCTTGAACTCACAGAGATCCACCTGCCTCTGTCTCCCCAGTGCTGGGATTACAGGTGTGGGCCACTGTGCCCTGATTGGTCCAGGTGATTTTATATGCTCTGCCTCTGGTGAGTGTTTTGGGGGCTGGGAAATTAAAGATTTGAGGCTTTTGACCATTAGCCAGATGCTCTACCTGATAACACAGAAGAATTTTACAACTGAAAAATGACATAGCATTTGCTTGTTAGAAAGACCAGTCTCAAATATATATTTTTTAAGAGAAAGGACCCAAATCCACCATTCTATATTTGGAGAGTGTTTATATAAATCAGAGTGCAACTATGTGAATTTTCAAGTATTTTGCAGATAAGGTTACTGACATGGAAAGATGTTATATGAAAAAAAAAATCAGCTTTGTGGCGCTATGATGGCACACATCTTTAATCCCAGCACTCAGAGGCAGAGGCCAGCCTGGCCTACAGAGTAAGTTCCAGGACAGCCAGGGCTACCCAGAAAAACTCTTGTTTCAAAAAACAAAACAGAAGAAAAAGAAAAAAATAATCAGCTTCTAATCTTGCAGGTTGCTGTTTGGCTGCAACCCATTGCTCAGGAGCATGAGGCAAAAGATCCCAAGTTCCAGGCCAGCCTCGGCCACGTAAAGAGACCCTGTCTTGAGACAAATGACAATAATCAATTGAACAGGACCTGATAGGACAAGCACATGATCCCAGAAACTCCGAAGGCTGAGGCAGAAGGATCCACAAGTTCAGAATCTCCGTGGGCAACCGTGTGAGTTGACGGACAGCCTGGGTAACTTAGCAAGACCCTGTCTCAGAAGTTAAAAAGCATGCCGGCTGTGGGATGGAGCGCAGTGGCAGAGACAATGCTTATTAGCATTCAAATTAGGGTTCAATCCTATCACCCCAAAATAAAATTGGGCAGGAGGGGCTTGGCTTTCCTCAGCAAGTGGAACAATAATTGTATATGGATTTTATAAAAATTCTCTTTTATGGCAAAAAACTATAGGATATATATATAGAAAAACATGGATATATATATATATAAATAAAAACATATATATATATATAAATAAAAACATTTGAGTATTTCCATATAATTAATATTTATCATATAATTGTCAACCAAAACCAAAATTTACAAGCCATATATATATGTTATATAAGAACATTTTTTTTTTTTTTTTTTTTTTAAAGCTGGGCGCAGTGGCACACGCCTGTGATCCCAGCACGCTGCGAGGCAGAGGCAGGTGAATCCCTGTGAGTTCGAGACCAGCCTGATCTACAAAGTGAGTCTAGGACAGCCAAGGCTACATAGAGAAACCCTGTCTCAAAAGAATATAACTTTTGGAGGCTGGGTGGTGCAGTGGCTCACACCCTGAATCCCCACATTCAGGAGGCAGAGGCAGGTGGATTTTTTAGTTTGATGCCAGCCTGATCTACGTAGTGAGTCCCAGGTCAGCCAGGCCTACATAGTGAGTGAGACTGTCTGGAAAACACAAAAAACAAAGCCACAGTTGGCCTCAACTGTTTAGGAAGGAGCTAATATGGGTGATTATGCTAGGCAGTCCACTCTAGGGTCTTTAAGGAGAAGTGGGCTGTGGACTCTTCCCTCCCTACCCCCACTCCTGTTCCCTCTTCTGCCCTCCTAGGTGGGTCTCCCTACCCTGTTCCGCTGACCAGGCTAGCTGGTTGCTCACAGTCTCCACAATCATGTTGGCAGCTTCTTCATCCTGGAATAGGATCTGGACCTGCTGCAGGTCCCCAGAGAACAGGGCATTGTGGACAGCTGGGTCTCGGCAGGAGCGGCGGCGAGGCCTGGTGAGCCGGGCCTGGGGACCAGCGAGGTTCCGGTGGCTTCTGCACTGATGAGCAGCAGCCCGCCTCCTGTCCTCCCATTCCAGCCACTCTCTCTGTAGTCGGAGAGCGCGCAGGGTGGAGGAGGTGAAAGGGAAGCTCTCTCCTGCCATGAGAGAGAGGGTCCAGGGTCTGGGCAGCAGCACCTAGGCACCTTGTCCCAGCTAGCTAGATAGCTGGGGAACCACCCTGCCCCCTTCCTGGTAAGCCAGAGAAGCAGCTGATGCTATAAATAGGCCCCTCATGGCATTGGTAAACAGTTTGCCTAGAGTCAAGATCCTCATGCAGATGGTACTGGGCCAGCCCCTGCCCCTAGCAGGTCCTCAGCCAAGGTCACTCCTGGACTCCACTTCCCTGGAGTGAGTCCAAGAAGTCAGGCATGGGATAGGTGGGCAGGACGGGGCAGGGGAGGACCAGGGTTCTGCAGCCTCGTGGGGTTGGCCAGGAAAGTTGGCAGGAGCCCAGTGTGGCCCACAGATGTCAGTTAGGGGAGCTGGAGAGAGATTGCTGGTAAGCCAAACCGCCCTTCCTGAATTTGAAGTAACAGCAACCACTGCGTACGTGGACTGCCCTTTCTAGAATTTAAATGGCTCTCACAGCCGTCTCCCCCCACATGACCGCAGTCAGTGAGGTCACACAAAACAGATCTGGCCAGCCAACGACATGGCCGAACAAGTTCCTCAGTTCAGCGCCTGGAGTGAGTGGTCTTATCTTAGAGAGCTAAGGAATTTTAAGTCTTTTCTTGTTGTTTGCTTGTTTAAGGTAGGTTTTATTTGTGTAGTCTTGGCTGTCCTGGAACTCGCGCTGTAGTCTAGGCTGGAACTCACAGAGATCCTCCTGCCTCCGCCTCCAAGCGCTGGGATTAAAGGTGTGCGCGAACACCGCCCGGTGGAATTTAAATTCTGACAAGGTGAAACTGGCTCCAGGTCACCTAGCTTGTGGCCTCACTTAATGGCAGACAGTTAAGCGAGCCTCTCCCATGCTCTCATGCCCAAGCAGGACGCGGTCTCTTCCTTCACTGACTGGTTTTCTCCCTGGTTTCTAAGGGGACTCACAAACCTCCGTGAGTGGCGTGCCACGGGTTGACCTTGGACTGACGGGACAGAGACCTTCAAACCATAACCCCCGTCACCCTTAGGAGGAAGTGGCCGTGCTTCCAGGAGCCTCTAGGGGGAGCAATAAGGCTGCGAAAAATCGGCAGCTGGTCTGACTGTGTCTGCCAGGGGAGGGTGGAGAGGGATGTCAGCCAGCCTCGGCCTCCCGGGCTGGCGGCAGGCAGGGTGGTGTCTCAACAATGCCATGTGGGTTCCTCCTGGCTCCCTGTGCCCGCTCCCACCCCTGACTTTCCAGCAACTTCCCCGTCCTCTGTACCATTCACCTCCTCCGGGTCACGGGCTCACACACAGGATCTGTCTCTCCCACGCTGTCACCAGCTTCACTTCAGGTCCTCAGTGCCTTCAACCTGGATCAGCCCAGCCTGTGAGCATCTCTTCCCTCTGGCCACATGGCCGTCTGCAGCCCTGCCGGAATTATCTGTCCAGAAGGCTCACTTTCCTTAAAAGCCTCTGCAGTCTGGCTCCGGCTCTTCCACAGAAGTCCCAGTTCCCTCGTCTGGCCTCACACCTCGGGGCATTCCCACCAGGTTCTTCACCCTTGCCTGCTGTCCTGGTGGCACGGAACCTCCCAACTCGTTCATCCAAGGCAACCAGCGTGTCTAGGTGCCCCTGCAATGCCAGCTACTCAACTTCTGAAGGACATCGGGTGGGCTTGGCAAGGTACCCATGCCATAGACATGGCCCTGGATGTGGGCTCCAGGGCAGGCCCTGGCATGGTCGGTCTTGACACAGGGCTTAGGAGCACTTGCCTCACCGTAGGCTGCCCTCTCCTCAACACTGAATGAAGGTCCCTGTTCTCTGCCAGAGTGAACACTCCTCTACACGCCCAGGTGGGTGGCAGCAGCCTGCGTTTTCTCGGCATTGCCCTCACGCTCTGCTCAGTCGCTCCGTGCTCGGCCCCAGCTTCTTGGTGGCGTTCCAGGGTGGGAGATCGCAGAAGAATGAGGTCATGGCCAGAGGGGGGTTGAGGAGCCTCAGAGAAAGGCACCTCTATGGAGGCAGCTGTGATTAACCCCACTGGAAGCCATACCATAGCTTAATTGCCCTGCTGACGGCCTGGCTGAGCACCCACAGCTGAGTTCCCAGGGTTGGGAGTCTGGCAAAGCCAGGTGGGGCCAAGAGGGGCCAAAGTAGTGGGTGTCCATTTACTCCCTAAGGCATAGAGAAGTCAGAGCTTGACCTCTGCCCTGCCTTCTCGCCTCGCAGCCTCAAAGCACTGACTATAGCTTTGTCACCCAGAGACACCAGTGTGTAGGTCTTTTGTTTGTGTTTTTGTTTTCTGAGACGGGGTTTCTCTGCGTAGTCTTGGCTGTCCTGGACTCACTTTGTAGATGAGGCTGGCCTTGAACTCAGAGATCGGTCCGCCTCTGCCTCCCTGAGAGCGGGGATTACAGCCACCACACCCGGTTTAACAATGAGACAGAGAAAGGCGGCCTCGGTGTCCAGCAGCTAAACTGGATAGAACAGTGCCCAGGAATTTGATGCTCAGTCTGCCTCCTGGGAGCTCAGTCTGGGGAACAATGAAGCACCCAAGAAACTAGGAAGAGTTAGGCGTTAGCAGCAGGCAGAAGAGGGGGCATGTTAAAACGTGAGGCATTAGGGAATGAGTCCTTCGCTGCCCCTACATTCAACAGCTTTCAAGCTGCTTACTGTCTCCTGTCAGACCGTATCCATAGGATCAGTCTCTCAGAGAAGAGAAGCGGCACAGTCAAGACAGGCCTCTTCAACCTGCTTCCTTGGGATGGAGACAAGGTTGAGAGCGCAAGGTCCGAGGTTCAGTTTCCAGCACTGCCAAACCCAAAACAGGAACAGATTTTCACAGAGTCGTCTTACAAGATGGCTGACCAGTGGCTGGAGAGATGGCTCAGCAGAGCCCAGCACCCATGGCAGGTGGCTCACAATCTCCCGTAACTTATGCTCTAGGAGTTTTGGCTGGACTCTGTAGGCACTCACATGCAGCCGGCATGTGCGCACACACGCACAAATAAAAACAAACTCCACCAAAAAAAAAAAAAAAAAAAAAAAGTGATAGCTCTCAGAATGATTGAGGTCATCAAAACAAGGAGGAGCCTAGAGATCCAGGAGGGGTTCTGAGGGGAGGGATTGGAGGAGAAGGCCAGCAAACCTAAAAAAACGTGGAGCGTGGTAATGGCAATGTTGCAGTATTGGTTTATACTGAGATCAGTGGAGCAGGCATCGTGGCACATGCCTGTCCTACCAGCATCAGGGGTCAGAGTCAGGAAGATCATGAGTTCAGGGTCAGACCGCGGTATGTAAGTTTGAGGCCAGCCTGGATTCGGTGCTGTGAACCTTTAAAGAAACTGATAAAACGCATCATACCAATGCTAAACGCTTCCTTGTGTGTGGATGCCCTCGGAAGCCATCTAGAATTACAGGCAGTTGCAAGCTGCCCCACGCGGGTGCTGGAAACTGAGCTCCGGTCCTCCGAACGAGTAATAAGCACTCCATCTTTCCAGGCCCCGGGGTATCTTTAGCTGCTTTTCCACCTTACCTCTCGATACATGTAGCAGGCTGGCTAGTTAGTCAGTGAGCCCCTGGGTATGCCCTGCTGCCCTGGCATCACAGGTGGATGCCATCACACTGAGTCATCTTCCCAGCCTTGTTCTCTTGTTGCTGTTTCCGTTACACGTGCGCACGCGCACACACACACACACATCCATACATATGTGTGCCTGCACACACATGAATAAAAGAAAAGGATGAGTGAGCACTTGTTCAAGAGGACCCAGGTTCAAATCCATATGGCCCTCACAACCATTTGTAATTCTAGTCCCGAGGGATCGAAGCCCTCCAAGGCAGCAGGCACACGGCTGGCACACAGACATAGATGCAGGCAAAGCACCTGTATACACACACACACACACACACACACACACACACACACACACACACACAAATTAAAAAAGAACACGAGAAAGAGAGGCAGAGGGGAAGGAGGGGAGAGTGTAGACATATACTCCTCTCACGAGTGAATGTTGCTTGCTCTGCTTTGCTGTCCACCTGCAGGAGCTTGGTTGCCTTATCCAGCAGAGAATGGGGGAAGGGGTGCAGAAGGAGGGGTGGCAGATAAGAAGAGACATTTTATTTCAGAACCGGATACAATAGCCTGTGCTCCACCATGACCCTTGTGGGCATGTTAGCTACGGGCCTTGGGTCATCTTTGCTGTGGTTGTGGCTCCTCTGGGTTCCTCAGCTCTCAGGGGACCGAGGAATAAAGGGACAAGGAAGCCAGACCTGACATCTCTCTAAAGTTAAGATGAGGTGCGAGGATCACACTTGTCCTGTTGGCTGGCGGACTATGCGCCAGGACATGGAGGACATGGAGGCTAGGGGGTGAGCCTTGCTCAGATTTCTGGGATGCCCAGGCCAAAGGAAGTTGTCAAGCCACAGCAGCCAGCACGCGAGAGTCCATCACATGGGGCTTTCTAAGGTGACCATGAGGGCATCCGACCATGGGCTTGAGTAGTCCCCGTTGCACTGGCTTCCTCTCCCTCAGACGTGACCAGATGCACCTAGAGATTGTCTGGGGGGCAGAGGGGCTGTCAGTTCATGGTGGGTGCCCTGTCTTGGGACAGCCCCAATCGCTGGGCTCGCAGAAGAAGTCCTCGGGGAGCTCACTCAGGAGTCCATCCAGGTCATCTGCAGATGGAGATGGACAGGAGGAAACTCAGTGACAAGCACAGGACCCCACAGGACTCAGATCTGAAGGCCCTACCCTTTGTGAGTCCCTGGACCTCAGTACAACCATGGCAGTGGGTTTGACACTGAGCTGATCTACCTTTCCTTGGCTCCCTACAAACACACGCAACACAAAAGGCAGGAGACAATCCCTGGGCCATGCTGGTAGGGACGGGAAACCCCTGTTCTTCATTAGTTTTTTCCCTTCCGGGACTTATGTAGTAGAGGACTGGTCCCCACGAGTTGTCCTCTGACCTCCACACGACATGGCATGCCTGCCTTTTCAATAGACAAAATGAAAGGAGAAAGCGTTCCTGACCAGAGCTGTCAGATGTGGTGCTTATGGGAAGCTGGAGAAGCCGCTGACCCTGGTAATGGTGACTGTTAGACTTTCTGCGTGCTTCTTCCACCTCAACAACCCTTTTCAAGGCAGCTCGGGGTGGTTGCTGTGGTCAAACCCACTTTACCGAGCAAATTTTACAGAGGTGCAGCGCCTTGCCCCAGCTGAGCACACGCAGGTTCTGCCTGCTGCCACGTAGAAAAATACCACTTCCAGGACGGGGTCAGGGGTCAGGGGGCTCCAGAAGGCAGACTGTAAACCACACCCAAGAGCCCAGCTTCGGGTCTGGCAAGAACACTGCCAAGAGGAAAAGGAGAAGGCAGACTGGGGAGCATTCAAAATTTAATTAAAGTGACTAGCACTGTATTCAGGGCAGGTGGGGCTGTTATTTGCTTACAGCAAGGAAAAAGTTGCCCAATGGGCTGGGCATGGCAGTGCTTGCCTTCAATGCCAGCACTTGGAGGTTAAGGCAAGAGGAGAACGGTGAGTTTGACGCCAGGTTGGGCTGCACAGTGAGTCCCAGGCTGGCTAGGACTACACAGAAGACTAGATCTAAAAAGCCAGAAGTTGCCTTGTGGGAGCCATGCTGAGACAGGCCAACTGGAGAAAAGCATCGGGGAGGAAAGGGAGGAGCGGGGTGAAGGATGGGCCCTCAGGAACGGCAGGGCTTGTGTTTTTGTCTTCAGCCCTATAGAGCGGCATGAGACATGCCTGTATTCCGCAGCCATCTCTCCTCACTCAGCTGTGACCACCAGCAGCTTCTGACAGCAGTGGGGTCAGCAACAGGCTCTGTCACAGGGAGAGAGTGCAGGATTCCAGGCAACACAAGACCCCCGCATAAATTCAGAGTCTCCTATGTAGGATCTAAACAAGCTCTGTGGATTATATACTTGTATACTGTGAATATGCTTGGTGTGAGATCCCTGCCCATAATCCTCTTGCCTCCAGGAAGGCAGGACTGAATTTCTGAAACTGAAAGCTGAGGAAGTGGCTGGCACTACGAGGGTTCCACCTGAGGCTGGCTCCACATGGGCCTCTCAGGTTTGCAGCCAGTCCCCCTGGCGGTACCGATATCTATGTGACTTGTTGGCTTTCCTTGGCGAGCCTTTGAGTGCAGGCAGGGTGGGAAATCTGCCTCCATGATCTGCTAATGAGGGCTGGAAATGGGAAGTGGGACAGATTGTGCCACATACCCAGGGGGTGGTGGGGTTCCCTCCTGCAGCTGAAGGAACTGCCAGTACATGGCGTGAGCTACGGACATACTTCATAAAAGATTGCTCTTACCAAGGCCCGCAGCCTTGCTGAGCAAGACGCCTCTGATTTCTGAAAAGCGCTGCGCCGGTCCACACAGTATAGCAGGAGGCTTAAGGTACAGCTACATGGAAGCACTGAGTGAGGCCGGAGGATGCTGAGGGGCTGTGGACCTCACCTGCCTCAGGGGGCTCCTCCTCAGGAGATGCTTCTGGGTTCTGTGATGTTCCGAGGCCCTGCGTGGGCTCTGCAGCCACCTCAGGCTGGAGGTTTCCACAGGAGCTTTCTAGATCCTGAGGACAGTGGATCTGGTTACCAGTGCCCAATGCCCCTGAAATCCCTCTACCCAGATGACCTCAAAGGGAGGCCTTGCACGACAAACACATGAGAAGGGAACAGGGCGGGGGCCAGAGTCACCCAGGCCAAGCTGAGAGAGAGGTCAAACACCAAACGTCCCGAACAGCAGATAAGTAAACCGGAACGTGCTTCTCAAGCTGATCTTTCTCAGTTCTATCAGTGTCTAATTCTGGGGGAGTCTGTATGACCACCACAGAGGGTAAAGAGGCCATTCACCAGTGTGTTGAGGAGTTAGCCTGAGATTGAAAATAAGCTGTTACGGGGCTGGAGAGTCAGCTTGGCATTTAAGAGCACATGCTGTTCTTCCAGAGGACCCGAGTTTGATTCCCAGCACACACGTGGTACTTCATTCACAACTATCTATGACTCCGATTCCAGGAGATCTGATGCCCCATTCTCACCTCTGTGGGCACCAGGTGCATACGAGGTGTGTGTAAACACAGGCGTGTACATAGATACACAGAACTAAAACACTCAGGTAAAATAAAATGAAACAAACAAACAAACAAACAAATCCTACATTAAAAAGAAAAAAAAAAAAAAAAAAAAAGAACTACAAAGTGAGTCCAGGACAGACAAGGCTACACAGAGAAATCCTGTGAAAGGAAGGAAAATGATAAAGAAAAATGAAGTTATAGAGGTGAGCGACTATGAAGGCATGTAAAAGGGTCCATGAAAAGGAGGGAAGATTAATAGAAAATCAGCAGTCAAACACTTGCCTATGGATGGTGCAAGAACAGGGAAAGGGACAGGGCTTGCCCCAGGTCCTAGTAAAAATTATTAGCAGAGCTGGGATAAGACCCAGGTGTCCTGCCCTCCTCCGAGCTAGGATCCTAAGGGTGGAGTCAGGAGGAGCCAGCTTAGCTCTGCCTCTGCAGACTGCTTGGAGCTACCTTCAGCTCCCACGGGCACCAAATGCTTGCCTTAGTTCCTACAGGAGGACGCTCCTAGCAGAAGCAGACGCCAGGAGGGAAGTCTCGGAGCAGGGGCCAGCTCACCTGACGGGTCATTTGTACTCCCCGTTCTCTGTGTTGCCACCTGGCACAGATGCGACCCTCTATCATTTTCTGCCATCCCCCCAGGGGGGCCCTCACCCTGGTTCTCAAGTGACTCCTAACTTCTCAGATGATCACGCCTGCCCTCAGCCATTCGGGGATCACCAGGAAGCCAGCTGCTCTTCTAGGTACTGTTACTCAAGCGGCTGGCAGGCGGCTGGCGCGGGGGCAGCAGAGACTCCTGTTCCCAAAGGCACCTCTTTACCTCAGGGAAACTGTCTCCTTTACACCTTTGCCTCCAGGGATGAGAAGAGGAAGAACTGAGAGAAGCCAGGCAGGACAGCTCTGCCCGTCACCACTTGTCCTGTCCCACTTACCTTGGGCAAGGGCTGAGGTGGCTTGAGGAAGTCCTCATCCCCAGAATCGAGACTGTAAATTTGGACCAGGTTGTTGGGTGTCACGTTGAGGTAGTGGTTTCTGAGTGAAGGAGAAAACACTCCAATCTGCAGTTAGGAAGGGAGTCAGTGTGTGGCAGGAGCATGGTGCTGGTGGGTGACCACTGGGCACCAGCTTTCTCTTTGCTTCCTGTCCTAGGCACCAAGGCTTCCTGTCCTTGGTACCACAGTGGAACCACTTACCCCCAGTACAACGCTCTGTTCCCATTTACCCATGAAGCACAGAGCAGCTCCAGGAAAGCAGGGCCCAGCTGCTCCCCGGCTAGCGATGGAGGGAAGGCAGGCAGCCAAGCAAGGACAAGCTGGGAGGGACCCCTACCTGCTTCAGCAGCAGCACCGAGCCAGGCTTCAGCTCACTCTGGTGTGTCTCCAGAAGCACCCTGTGTACCGTTCCAAGCATCTCTCCTGCAAAAGCCACAAGGCCTCTGCCTAAGGGCCATGGGCACGGCAAGGGTTCTGAGCCGTTGGCTGGGAAGCAGGCTGCTGGACCTCAATGGAGGTCATAAGACACTCTCAGGACCCACTCCTTACCTGTGGGGTCCTTAAAAACCACACTGGCGTCCATCGTGCTCCGAGTCAGTGACTTGATCATCACCGCCATGTTGGGGACCTTGTTCCTGGGGAGCTGCTTGAGGGCTGCCTGCTTACAAGGACAGGCACTCACTGAGCTAGCTGTGGCCTCATTGTCAATCCCTAGGGCAGCCAGGGGGTGGTAAGAGCCTTCCTTTGTGGCAGGCCAACGCAGCTGGAAGGGCTCACTCTGCTGTAGAGGCCAAAGCTGGCGGGCCTTTCTCTCTCTTAGGTTTCCTTCCTTTTGTATAGGTTTTTGTGGCTCACTGCATGAAGGCAGGCCCCAGGCAGGGACTGATTGTCCCGTGAGAGAGCGCTGGGAGCTCTCAGGGTGGCAGTGTGCCTCAGTCTGGTACCTGAAAGGGCAGGGGCAGGCCCACTGCTATGCTCAAAACTGTGGGTGGCACTGAAAACAGACAACCCAAGGGGCTTCAGGCTGCCCTCTGGGGACAGGACTGGGGTGAGAGGTAGCAGATGGCCTCCTCCAAAGGTGAAGCAGATGGCAGGGGCTCCGTTCTCAGGGCCCTTACCTTGCGCAGCACCATGACAATACTGTAGGTATGGAGAAAGCAGGTGGGGTCTCGCTCGTCCAGGCCTAGAGCAGATTTCATGGTGAGCCAGGGTCCTCGCCCAAAGTCTTCTTCCACTGATCCCTGGGAACTAGTAACAATCTGGTACCAGAGAGCAGAGGAGCCTGCATTAGTGAGTGGACTTGCCCTGGGAAAGATCCCGGACTGAAGCAGGGCAAGTGGGTGGGAGAGAAGTGGTGAATTCCCTGGGGTGGAGGCAATGGACGCCTCTCCATTACCACAGCGAACAGCACGTGGCAGGTGAGACCTGGCTGCATCTTTCACCAGGCAGTCAGAACAGAGGTTTTCCCCCCGCCTTTTTTTTTTTTTTTTTTTTTTTTTTTTTTTTTTTGTTCAATTAGGTCCTGACTTCAAATACAATGAAGCAAAAGACAATCCCTCCACTTACATTTTTAAAGATTTATTTATGTGTGTATGTGGGCCCGAGTGTATGAACGCACAGGGGTGCATGCAGATGCTCTCAAAGGCCAGAAGGGGGCGCTCAGTTGCCTGCAGCCGGAGTTACAGGCAGGTGCAAGGCACCTGTTGTGGGTGCTGGGAGCCAAACAAAGGTTTACTGCAAAAGCAACAAGGGCTCTTAACCCCGGAGTCATCTCTCAAGCCCCATGCATCTGTCTTAAAACTCTCTGGAAGGCTTAGGAGTGGGGGCTCTCCATATATATTTATAGTTCATAGGGCGTCATAGCCATTTTGAATCCTGTCATGTTTTGTTTGATGCCCCAGGTTTTAACCATTAGCTGCCTTATATCAACTGCGTTCACTCCAGGCAATCACTGCCAGGTTTGGATCTGAAGTGGATGGGCAGCCCTAGAGAGCTGCCGAAAAAAAGAAATAGGACGAGAATTAAAAAGCAAAGGCGGGCCTGAAGACAGAATAAGTCAATTAGAGTCCTGGGGCATGTGGGGTGTGGGGCTGGCCCCACCCACTGAAAGGGAACCTCCTGGAGGCAAGATGGGGGCACGCTCTTCCCAGCTCAGCTTCCAGAAACCCAAGAGGATTCTCGAGATACCATCTCATTAGACTTATTACACTCTCCTCCCTAGGGAAAAATGCAGCTCCTGGGCCCATCGCTCTCAGATGGAAGAGAAAGGCCGAGCCATGGCCTCACTCTATGTCTGTAAACTGCTGCCTCCCCCAACTGCCCTTTGGTGTGGGCCTAGCAGCATCAACTGAGGCAGGCAAGGATGCCCCTCACTTTCAAATGCCGCCCACGAGGCAAAGGTTTATACGGAAGACATTACCTCAGTCTGGAGTTTAGCCAGAGCACCGTGAGTCGGAGTCTGGGGTGCGGAAACCATGATCTCCTCCAGATTCTCCCCGCTGTGCTAAGAGGGGAGAGAAGGCGAGAGCAAGCTCAGCAGCTGTTATTTACAGGTACAGCGTCTTGTCTGGGTTACATAATGCGTTCAGGAAACTATTAGCGACAATTAGCACATATTACACTGCCTCTAACGCGGTCTCAAGAGCCTCATTGGTAGTTAAAAAAAGACACTTTGGGGATCAGTTTGGGAATGTAAGGAAACTGGAGCTGGCCCAGGAGCAAGGCCCGGTGTCGCCTGAAGGGGGCAGTGACCCAAATAGAGGAGGTTCTGTGATGAGTTAACTGTGCAGCTCTCCCTGAGGCTCCTCTCAGAGAAGGGCAGACCACCCCCAGGCTTCTCTGGAAAGGCCAGGAAGAGCAAGTAACAGCAGCGATTGTGTCAAACCCCTCACCAGAAGAGAAGGCACCTGCTTTGACCAGACCACAGCCTCAGTGCCAATCACCTGGGATCTAACTCTGAACTATTTTAAGGGGCCTCATCCCTCCACCACCAGCTAGACTCCGAGGCCGGTTTCACTTCCAACTCTGTTTTCTCCTGTCTGCCCCCAGGGCCAGCCTGATGCAGTGAAGTGTTCTGTGATGGCTAAAAGCACCTCATCTTGAGCCTCTGTCTTCTCCTTGCTGGACCAACCCCCATGCAGGGTTCCTGAGCTCTCCTTTATCCTTCTAGTCATCTACCCAAAGCCACCGAGCAAGGCCAACGCAGAGCCCATGTGTCCCCAGGAACCAGGGAAAGACCCCTCCTCACACTGCACCCCATGAACATAATCGCTCATCACTCGCCCCCACCCACTTCTTCCTCTGGGCTAATATGAGTGAGAAAATATTCCTGTCTAGGGCTAGCAAACAACAGACGCTTAATAAGCACACAGAAACTAGGAAGTTGTGTCTCTAAGCACCATGTCACAGAAGGCTTCTCAAGCACTGCCCAATTTTTATTTATTTATTTATTTTTAAGGGAAGGTTTACTTCGCTACTGACAGGGCCCTCAAGAACCTGAGGCAGCCAGTCACACTGTGTGCGCATCAGGAAGCAGGGCGCTCCCCCTTTACATTCAGTCCAGGAGCCCTGCCCGGTGCTGAATGGTACCTCCCACAATAACTAATGGTGGGCCTTCCCACCTCAGTGAAATCTCATCTAGGGAATCCCTTCCCTCCACTGGTGCTGGGGTTGGAACTCAGAGCCTCCGCTCTGCTAGGGAAGAGTTCTACATCTGAGCCCCCCTCTTCTCCCCATCCCACTTCTGACTTCTGCAGCTTTGAAAACCTTTTGCCTGTGTGCGCATGGGTACGGGCATGTGTGTGCGCAGGCACACCTGTGGAGGCCGGAGGACAGCCTCAGGCGTTGGCCTCCTTGGGAGGCCTGAGGCATGGCTTACCTTGCTTTATACTTTTTAGATTTATTTTATTTATTTACTTATTTATTTATTTTATTGTATGGCTGTTTTTACTGCATATATGTGTGAGCCTGGAGTTTGCAGGCCAGAAAAGGGTGTCGGCTCCCTGGGACTGGAGTTACAGATGATTGTGAACCACCATGTGGAGGATGGGAATTGAACCCAGGTCCTCTGTAAGAGCAACAAGTGCTTTTAGCCGCTGAGTTATCTCTCCAGCCCCTACTCATTTTTTTGGGGGGGGGGGGGTGAAGAGGTAGAGTGTTTTGAGACAGGGTTTCTCTGTGTAGCCTTGGCTGTCCTGGACTTGCTTTGTAGCCCAGGCTACTCGCAGAGATTTGGCTGTCTCTGCCTCCCTGAGTGCTGGGATGACAGGCACGCGCCACCACGCCTGGCTCCCTACTCTGTTTTTTTTGAGACAGGGTCTTCCACTCACTGTCTTCTTAGGCTGGTTGGTCAGTGAATCCGAGGAATCTTTTCACCAGAGTTAGGATCACAAGCTCAGGTGCCCGAGCCATCTCTCCAGACCTTGCAAATCCTTTCTCACCACTTCCTGGCTGTCTCCTGGCAGCAAAGATACTATAAGCTTGAACTACTGTTTCTTTCCCTGGGTCCTAATGTCCTGGAAAACAGGTCACTCACCTGGTGAGGGAGGAGTCCTGCTGGGCCAGGGAAGCGGCGGGTTTTAGCTCGACTGTGGGGGCGAGGGGGCCGCTGTGGTGTCCGGCTGGTAGCAGTGACTAGCTGGACCAGGTGGTTGGTGACTATAGGTGTCTGAAGAGCTGGCTGAGGAAATGGGGCTGAAGTCCTTCTGGGGGTGCTGACAGGAGATTCTATGGGAGAGACTGGGGCTCGGGATGGCAAGGGCCCCTGACGGAATGCTGTGGAGCTGCAGTGGGGACGTTGAGGTCCAGGAAAACGGGGTTTGCCACTTGACCAAGCTTTGGGAGACCGAAATGGCTGAGCAGACAAATGGTTCTGCGGGCTGTTCTGAACGGTCCTTCCAGCTGCTCGGGGAGGCTGAGGTGCAGTGACAGGGGAGTCTCTTTGATGGGAAGTGGAAACTGCTGAGGCAGCCGGGACAGGAAGGCTGCCTGCGGCTCTAGGTCTCAAGGAAGGCCATGGATTCCTGCAGTGGACAATGGACTCCTTCTGAAAAGATCCGCTCAGATCAGCTATTCGGGCCTTTTTCGCCAACACTGGATCCTCACGGTACCGAGCAGGCAGGATTTGGGTGGCTCCGGTACGGACTCGGGGTTCTAGCTCCAGGCCGGCTCCCTCCAGCTCCATGCTTGCCAGGGCCTTGTCAAACTCATCTTGATCAGGTGCTTCAAAGCCACCAATGCCCTGCTCAGGGCTCTCAAAGATAAATCCAGAGTGTGCTGATGAGGCTTGGAGTCCGGATGACCCCTGTGGTACTTTTTCAGTCAGTGTCGCTCTCTGCCAACCGCCCTCACTGCTGGCAGAAACTGAGACAGGTCTTAGGGACACTGGTTGCACACAAGGTGGATCCCTGACGGTCTGGGGCATGCTGGGAGGTGGGAGACACAGTCCTGGGACTGACCTGCTCGAAAAAGCAGGGTATGATGGCAATGGTCCCGAGGACTGTGCCTGCATAGTCTCCTGTGGCCTGGAAGAGACGAGTCTGGGGCACCCAGCATTCCCAGGCAATACACTAGCAACGTGGTTCTCTGCATTCTCCAAAGCAGATAAGAAATCCTACAAAGAAACAAAGAAAATGGGCCTTTGCATCAGGGTTTTATTTGTTTGTTTTTGAGACAGTATCTCACATAGCCCAGACTGGCCTTGCTGAACTTGCTATGTGACTGAGGATGACCTTGAACCCCTGACCCCTCTGTCTCCATCTCCCAAGTGTTGGGATTGCAGGCCAGTGCCACCATATTTGGCAGGGTCTCTGCATCTGGAAATTTAAAACTGCTTCAAAAAAAAAAATTAACGGAATAAAAATAAAAACAAAAACTTCTACTTTTGCTGTTTAAGCACACAGTACGTATGTGTACGGATACACACTCATACAAGAGACCAAGACATGAGAGGCCAGGATAGCATGTCTCACTACTCACAATCTACCTATAGCCAGTGGGGCACCAGGTTTCTGTCAGACTCATTCTTTTTTATTGAGGTTGTTTTTCAAGACAGGGTTTCTCCGTGTAACCTTGGCTGTCCTGGACTCATTTTGTAGATCAGGCTGGCCTCAAACTCACAGAGATCTGCCTGCCCCTGCCTCTGCCAAGCCCGGCTTGTCAGAAGCATTCTAAGGCTATATTTTCAGGTAGTTACTCTTTTTTCAGGAGTAGGAGGAGGCTTACTGGGAAAGCAACAGGAAACTCATTCCAGAGCACCAAGAAGCCAAAGGCAGACGGCAGGGTCAGGGTCACATACCCATCTGAAGGAGACTGGAGGTCATTTCAGTCAGGACTGTGGGGAGCGACCCCGCTGGCCATGCAGCCTGTCCCTACTACACTCCCTACCTGCAACCGTGCACACCCACACCCACAGTCTTCTGTGAGGCAGAGAGCCCAGGCAGCCCCCCTGGATCCAGGCAAACAGAGAGATGTTAAAGATAGCTTCTCAGGCAAGTTAAATTAGGTATGGAGTGCATCTGGGAAAGCAAGGTGAGAACGACACCTTCAAGAGCAGACCCGTTCTGAGTCAGAACTGCTGATTAAGTGACGAGAGGGGACTAGCCACCCCCAGCACCCGCCACGGCTCTGGACTGTCCGAAAGGTTCTTCCTGCTCTAGATGTTTATCGAGAGTCCCACACTCCAGCAATACCTAGGGCCACAATGATGATGATGATCAGAATGGCAGGACCCTGGTCACCTTGCAGCTTGATGGTGCCCTTTCCTCCCAGAGAGCAGACACTTAGCTGTAACATCCTCTGTCTTGGGAAGCAGGAAAGAGACAGGCGGGCCATTTTCAATTTTCAAGGGCCAGTGTGTATAGTCAGAGTCATTCCTGTAATTCCATCATTACCCCGGCAGCTCTACTGTCTGTCACCTGCTAAGACCCAAGAGGGCCACTTCTGTAGTTCTTTCCAGGTATAATCCCAGCAATGAAGACTGAGGGTATGAGGGTCAGGAGTTGAGTGTCATCCTCAGCCACACAGCAATTTTGGGGTCAGCCCAAGCTGAGAGACAGTGTCTCATTAAAAACAAAACTGAATCTCTGTGAGTTTGAGGCTAGCCTGCTCTACAAAGTGAATTCTGGGACAGCCAGGGCTGATATACAGAGAATCTGTCTTGAAAAAAAACAAAAAACAAAAAACAAAAAAAAACTGAAAATAAAAGATAAGAACAAGAACAAAACCCAAAGAAAACAGAAAAAGTTGGTCTGTGAACACAAAGATCCAGTTGCTATATGACAAACAAGAGACACTCCCTAGGTATCAGGTGCCACTCAGGCATTTTACTAGACTTCTCCGAGAAGTTTTATAATGGCCCTATGACTAGGCACAGAATCTGTACCCTATGGATGCTGAATCTGAGACTTGCTGAGGCTGGAGAGATGGCTCAGTGGTTAAGAGCACTAAATTACTCTTCCAGAGGACCTGAGTTCGGATCCCAGCACTCATGTCCAGGCATTCACAACTATCTGTTACTCCAGCTCCAGGGGATCTCATGCCTCTGGCTTCCATGGGCTTCCACATGAACATGTAGTGCACACACAGAGACACACAAATACATACATAAAATAAAATAAAATAAAAAGAGAAGAACCTGAGACTTGAACTGATCAACAAATAGGGCTAGAACCTACTTGGGCCCCTATCCTGTATCAGTTGTTTAGGAGAGGAACTGGGAAGCAAAAAGTGGCTCCTATTGCATGCGGTGGTGTGAGCTTTTAATCCCAGCATGCACTCAGGAAGCAGAGGCAGGCAAATCAAGGTAGAAATGCCCAGTGTCCTAGATGAAACTATATCCGTTGGTTCTGAACAAGAAGACAGAGTCACCAGTCTGGTAGTCTCTGTAGCCAGGCGTGGTGTCACATGCTCATAATTCCAGCACTCCAGAGGTTGAGGCAGGATGGTTTCAAATTCGAGTTGAGCCTTTACTACACAGAGAGAGACCCTGTTTCAAAACAAACGAACAAACAAACAAACAGCAACAACAAACCCAGGCATCAGTAACACCTCTTCTGGAAGGGCCTGGGATATGGATCAATGTCAATGCTTTGATCACTAGCAGCGTGAAAGAAAAGACAAGGCCCCTGTTGGAAATGGTATAGAAAGGCCAAGAACGAAGGGCTTTGCCCTGGTTCACATGGCCAGTAAGTGACCTATTGAAATTCCCCTGCCAGAAATTCTCATTTAATTGGTGTGGGGCAATGCTTACACAGGGGTGATTCCAAAATGCTTTGCGTCTCATTTCATTTCTTATCTTCTGAGAAGGAAGAGAAGAATACGTGAAGCACAACAGTGCCCTTCAGAGTAGACAAGAGAAAGTGGGAGGCCGGGAAACAGAGCAGTCTGCCGTGGTTCACATGCCTGTTGGTGCCCTCAGGTCTCAGGCCAGCCAGCTAACTGTGTTGTCTCCTCCCAGATTCTGGCTCTCCATAAAAATCTCCTCCCACCTCAGGTATGCTATTATAAAAGTGAATGAACTCACCCTCAAAACAGCTCCCTAATTTAAAAACACGTAGGGAGCTAATTTGTGTGTGTGCGCGCGTGTGTATGTGTGTGTGTGTGTGCGCGCGCGCGTTTAAATTGAGACAAACTCTGTCTTCTGGAATAGCTCTGAATTCTGTGCAGTAGAGGATGATCCTTTTGCCTCCACCTAGCAAGTGCAGAGATTACAGGCAAACCCCACATACCTGGTTTTATTCAGCGCTTGGGGATTGAGGTCAGGGACCTGTAGCCACTTGCTCTCATTCCCAGCCTTTTTGTTTGTTTTGTGTGAGACAGGGTCTCTCTACACAGCCCTGGCTCTCCTGGAACTCACTATGTAGACCAGGCTGACCTTGAACTCAGAAAGATCTGCCTGATGGGACTGCTCCATATATGTTCTGAACTTGGGTGTTTCCATCTTAGGGCATCTTTTGCCACCTCTGATCACCAACATTTCCCTACCTCATCTTCAAACTCTTCTTCTACGGCAAACAGCTTCTGAAAACTGCAAGTCTGAAAAAGAAAACAAAAAGAGTCACTGCAAGAACATTCTGTATTCACTGTCTCCCCCCCCCCCCCAGCTCTAACAAGATTATCTCAAGTATGCTGTTTTTCTAGTTTGTGTTTGGCTAGTACTGGAGGAAAAAGAAGAGATCTGACTTAGCTAAAGATTTAAAAATATAATCATCTGGGCCAGAAAAATGATAATATATATAATATCATATATTTATTATTATTAATATTTATATATTAATATAATATAATATATTTATTATTAATAATGTATTATATATATTATCATCTGTCCGAATTATTCCTAGAAAGGGGATGGGGGAAAAGGGTGTCAAGTAATCCAAGCTAGTCTCAAACCCATTATGTTGATGAAGATAATTTTTGACTCATAAAAAAAATTAATTTAGTCAGGGCGGGGGCCACCATTGTTATCTGTGTGTTGGTCAGATGACAACTTGAGGGAGTCAGTTCCTTCCACCATGTGGATCCTGGGGATCCAGCTTCTCTGGCTCAGGCACCACCTCAGCCCCTGACCTTGAACTCTTGATCCTTTCACTTTCCAAGATATGGGCTTACTTGCCTGCACCACCTCTAGAAGTCAGGCCTGAGTATTTTGCAACATTCTCAAAGGTTTGTCCAACCCAAGAAACTATCATTAATCCTGGCCTGGAGCCCTCTCTTCTGGGAATCAAGGCGGTGGTTTCTTTCTACAGAAGTCCAAAACCCAAAAGCTAAGTTCCCAAGAGGGTGGTTTCTTCAGCAGATTTAGATGAGTGCCATGCGCACAGCCAGGGGTTTGGCGGAGAGGGGAAATGGGGGGTAGGGGGTGGCGAGGCCTGTTTCAAAGAGAGGGGTGGGGGAGGAGAGAGTTGAAGGGTCACGAGGGTTGGGGGAGGTGATCCCAATAGGCAGTGATGTTTGGGGACAGAGGGATTGATGATTACTTCTCCAAAGGGTAGGAAAGTAATTAGAAGGCAGTGTCCGTAGGTCTGTCTCTCGGTCGGGGGAGGCTCCTTGCACAAGGCCTCCTGACTGGAGCCCAGGTCTGCAGACTGCACCCAGCCCGTCCCAGACAGACCCCAAACTAACTGATTCAGAGAGCACGGAGCCCAGACCTGGAGTCCGGCTTCCCCGCAGCTGGGACCCCTCGCCGCCCCCTCCCCCAGGGCGGCGTGGAGGCGGCATTACCATGACGACGGCCGCGGGTGGCGTGTCCCGGCCGCGTCAGACTCAAGCTCCAGCTCGTCCCAGATGTAAGCGGGGCACCGTGGCCGACCGTACCCGCGGAGCGGGGTCGAGAGAAGCGTCTTTAAGACTGCAGCGGAAGCTGAGAAAGGGTTGCCGAGAGCCTAAGGGTGTGGGTCCCGGGCGGCATTCGAAGCCGCCGCCATAATAGTGGCTCCGCCCTCTTAAAGGGGAAGCACCATTTTTTTTCCTGCCGACACAAAGGCCTCTTCCTCTGGTCTTCCGCCTCGGCCTTAAAGGGAAAACTAATGAGCTCTCGGTCGCCTCCAAGCGGTCCCCCGAGTCCAGTCGGCTACCGCTTGCAGGTGAGAAGGAGGTTGGGGAAGTATTATTCCCCCTTCTTTCGTGTCGAGCACGCCACTGACTGGTGATTTGAGAGTGACTTCATCCTCATCAGAACCCAGCCGATCGTGTAGCCCAGGCTGACCTCAAACCCACTTTGCAGCTGAAAATAACCTTAACTCCCGATTGTCCTTTCTCTGCCTCCCAATATATCTGGGAATCCAGGCAGATGCCACCATGGCTGGTTTTATGTGATGCTGGGGATGGAAACCAGGGCTTCACACTTGCTAGGCAAACGCTAGAGACAGGAAAAAATAAGGGAGCAGTTCCAAGACTCTGAGAACCTTACGTGCCATCCTCTGGTCAATAGGGAAGGAGGCATGATTTTGAGCCTCTCACATGCTAAGCAAATGTTCAGCACTGAAATAATAACACGCCCAGCCCTAACGAATTTCTACAGCATGTACAGAAGACTGAAGGAAGGGATCAGGGGAGCGGTAGGTCATGTCTGTGCCTCAGAGCACAGGCGCCTTCTGACCCGTAGAAGTATGACTAAAGTGTCGGGCTCTTCCGCAGGACAAAGCTTATGTTCGAAAGCACATCATGTTTTGCATATAATTATAGGGGTTGTCTTCCCTGAGGCCTTGGGTTGAACATTTGGTTCCCTGGAATTCTAAGAAGCAAAACTACACAGCAGTTAAGTTGCAGATGCTGAGGTCTGACTACCTGGGTCATAGACTCTCAGCTCCACCCACTCCTACCTCCGTGAGCTTGGCCAAGACCTTGACCCTCACACAGTACCGGGAACACACGCAACACTCCAGGAAGTTCAGCTGTTTCCATTACAGGTGAAATCGGAGTGCTGAGACCCTTCCCCCTGTACTCGCCTCTTCATTCCCCTCCACCAAGTGTCTCTGGTTGAGTCTTCCAGCCTAACCCCCGGCAGCCAGTTCTTCCATTTCTGAACTTACTCCTTCCTTTTTGGTCTGAGTTTCCACTGCTCTCAAACCCAGTTATTAAAGAGTTTAGCGTACTCCCTGCTTCTCCCCCTTCCTTCCTTCCTTCATCTTCTGCACCTCTTCCTTCCTTGACAAGGTCTCATAGCTAAAGGTGGCCTAGAACACTCACTTCTGACTCAACCTCCTGAATGCTAGCATTACACGCATGCACCTTCATTACACGCTAACACCCCTTTTCTTTTTCTGTTTTTTTTGTTTGTTTCTCTCTCTCTCTTATTTATTTATTTATTTATTTTTTGAGACAGGGCTTCTACCCGGAAGTCCTGGTATCAAAGGTATGCACCACCACACCCATGACCAGCTTTCAAAGAAGCCGTTTTTTTAACTGCCTGGGTGGTCAAGACCTACCTCCATTGTAATTGATGGCTACTGTGTCTCCCGTATTCTCCTGGGGCCCTCCTCCACCCCTTGATGAACTGTGCACTTTTTGTTGTTGTCGTTGTTCAGGTCTTGTAGTTTTCTCTTTGGAGGAGGGGAGAGTTGAAACAAGGCCCCCAATTATGTCACAGGCTGGCCTTGAATTTGCAGCAGTCCACCTGCCCCAGCTGAGCTTGTGTGTGTGTGCCACCATGCCTGGCTCTGGCAGGTTGTTCGTCTTTTGTGAATGAGTACTCAGTATGTAGACAACGCTGCAAGCATTTGTTGAATGACTTAATGCCTTTGCCAGAAAACAAAACAAAACTAAACAAACCAGGGGATGGGTTGGGCAGCTTTAGGCCCACTGCTACACATAGCTGCTGTTGGTTTGTGAAGGAGTTTTACTTAAGTACAAAGCAGAAACACACACATGCCGTGGGGGCGGGGGGTTGGGGTTGAAGACAGCTTCCCGCTTGCTGATTTTGCTATGGAGTTAGGAAAATATGTTCTGGGAGGCTTGGATAGCTCCATTGATAAGGCTCCTGAGCCTGAATCTGGGAGTGCAGGACTCAGTTCCCTGCTACCTTTAGAGGCCTGGCGGCCCCTGGAGGGTTAACAGTGGCTCCGACTGTGGTTCGAAATTCAAACAAAAGGGAGTATTAAGAAAAATAGAATGAAACAAACCATCTGGGGGAAAAATATGTTTGAGTCTCCTGGTAATTGGCACAGTAATCCTGAGTAAGTTCCTTTACCTCTCAGAACCTTTATCGTTTCCATCTATGAAAACAGAATTCAGAAAGAAAGAAAGAAAGAAAGAAAGAAAGAAAGAAAGAAAGAAAGAAAGAAAGACGGAAAGAAAGCAGAATTCTGAGTCTTTTTGGGGTTTCTGTGCAACTTAATGAACTGCGCTGAGGAGGATAACTCCATGCCTGCCGTGTTGGCAGGGTCTCAGCAAATATGGATTTCCCCCCCTCCCACCCCCTGCTTGAGTCTGCAAGCTTGAGCGGGGGAATTGTTATGGGAACCACATAGCTTGGGTTTGTATCTATTTTGGCATGTTTGCAAATGCATTTTGTACCCTAATTCATGTTTTTCATGCATGTATTTAGATGCCTTGTTATGGACAGTGGCCGACTAAAGAACCAATGTGTGTGTGTGTGTGTGTGTGTGTGTGTGTGCGCGCGCGCGTGTGCGCGCACAGAGTTTTCTGCTGTGCTGGTGGTTGTGTGCCGCATGCTGAGTGTATGTGGAATTCGACGTGTGTTGTGGGCCACATATGGGAGGGGGAAGGGCCGCTCTGTTTGTGTGGCTGTGTGTGAAGCGGATTCAGGCAGTGTGTTTTCCATATGTGCAAGCCAGCTGTGCAGCAGAACTCGGTGCCGATGGAAGTGTACTCTGTACAAACTCACTGTTCACTACTGCATGGTAGCCACCAACCCCTTGTGGCTACTGAACACTTTATTTATTTATTTATTTATTTATTTATTTATTTATTTATTTATTTATTTAGGTTTTTCGAGACGGGGTTTCTCTGTGTAGTCCTGGCTGTCGTGGACTCTCTTTGTACACCAGTCTGGCCTCGAACTCACCGAGATCCGCCTCGTGCTGGGATTACAGGCGTGCGCTCTTGAGCACTTGAAATGTGGCTAGTTGGCCTAAGGAACTGAAGATTGAACGGTGTTTAATTTTCTGCGTTTTCATGGGAATAGCCGCAGGGATATTAGACAGAAATTCCAAGCTTGTTTCCTTAATGCATCAGGTGATGGAGATCTCATTACCACGGAAAACCTGTTGCTGCGGTCCTGACTCTATCAGAAGCCCTGCTGGATCCCCACTTGCGCGGATATGCGTGTGTGCGCGTGTGAGTGCGCGCGGGTAAGACGTACAGAGAGGGCTGTGCCCCCCTCTCTCAGGTCCCCAGCGGAGCAGTGAATCAGCCTGACAATGCGGTGAGTCATTCATGAAGCCCAGCAGGCGGGAAGCGAACGTCAGGCAGCTTGGCAGCGCCTACCCCCCACCCTGGGGTGGGATCACTCAGCCCCACGCACTGCAGATGTTGGGAAGGAATTGACGCGGGCCAATCGAGGCCCCGCAGTGCCTCTCCTCCGCCCCTCCCTTTGACTTGCAATCCATTCATCCCCCTAGCCCTTCTTTCCCTCTCCCTTCGGGTGGCCTGTGAGTCATCATAAGATCTCTCGAGGACAGCCGCCTCTAGCTCAATCCTCTGCGCCCCATCCAACGCCCACCTCTCCAAACCGAATTCAGTGGGTTCTTTAAGGCGGGGACAGGAAGGGAAGCTGGACGCTCAGGGTGGCTTTTGGTTCCCTTAGGCAGTGAAGCCTACCCAGTCGGGGGCACGCAGTGAGGCAGCCCCTGCGGCGTATTGCAGCTGGCTGGTCCCAAGGACTGGCGGCTAGCTTGTTTAAGAGGATCATCAAGGCAAAGGAAGAAAGGAGTTGTTGACGCCAGGAGCGCCTATGGCTAGTGGGGAGTAGGGCATAGGGTCGGAACTAGCGTGTTCCTCTATTCGCCTGGGAAGTCCCACGGAGCGTCTCCCCATTGCCTGACCGTCTTCAGGACCTAGTGGCCCCTCTCCTTTGTATATCCTTTCCCTGCATTTTTTTTTTTTCAGCCTCCCCTTCTTGAACAGGAGCTCACCTGAGACTCTTGGGTCCCATGACTCTTACTGAGGCAGCCTTAGAAGAGCAGTTCAGTGAGAGAATGCTTCCCTGACACATAGGAGGGCCAGGAGCATAACTGCATCACTGAGCCAAGCCAAACCAGCACGGAGCAGGGGTGTGCAGCTCAGTGGTTAAAAAAAAAAAGGGGGGGGGAGGGGGGATACAACTGAAGATGGCTCAGTGGTTAAGAGCACCTGTTGCTCTTGCAGAGGACCGGGGTTCAGCTCTCAGCACCCACGTGGAGGCTCACAACTATTTGTAATTCCAGTTCTGTGGGACTCTCTTCTGATCTCCTTGGGCACCCAGGCTTTCACTGGGTGCACATACATGTATACAAGACACAGACACAAAATAAAAATAACTAAATAACCAGAACAGATCATGTGTGCGGTGCAATACCGTTTTCATTTTGAAGAAAAAAAAAAAAAAGGGAGTAGAGAAAAAGATTAGAAAAGTATTTACCTAATTATTAACAGTCATTCTTTTGGATTATGGGTTTAGGAGTGGGTTGGTTTCCCTTCGTTCTTTCTTGGTTCCCCTGCCCTAGGAGTTTTCTACAATAAGAGTTCATGACATTTTTATAGAAAAAAAAAAGATTAACTTATTAAGCACTTAAAAAGCCATCTGTGGGGGTGGTAATGACAATTGACTGTAAAAGGACATTTTCTGTGGTGATGAAAATGTTCAAAGACTGTATTATGGTAGTTGTTGTGCAATTCAGTAAACGTACTAACAGCTATTAAATTGTATACTTAAAATGGTAAATTTCATGTTTGAAATTTGGTAAATGCATGTTCATTATGCATAAAGTTTAATTTTTTATTTTTAATTTATTTTTCACAAATATCTGCCGAGGCTTTCTTCAAGCATGTACCTGTATTTACATAAAATAACAGAGTAAAAGGAAATCAAAACTCCCATTACACTCTGCCACTTATATGATCATCCTCATGGCACAGCTCTAGACGGTAGAGAGCATGTACCCTGTCCTACAGGTGTGGAGAGGGAGGCTCAGAGACGTTTAGTGATCAGTGAGTGAGGGTTCAAGGCAGAACCCAGCGCCACATAAAGTCTTCCCCAACACTGAAGGGGCAGCCCCTCCAAGAGCAGAGATTGCCGTGTCTGTTTCTTCCAGCAATTCACAAGGACTTAGGACTCTCCAGACAAAGGTCCTCCATTCAGAGAATGTGGAACATGCTCCTTCATCCTCAGGCAGCAGAGCCCTGTCACATCCATGAACACACATGTGCCCACCAACAGCCCCTCGGGGCAGACATGATTATTATTGATATTGCTGTTTTTAGTTTTATTTTTTATTTTACCTTTTACTTTTAATGAATTAACCAATTAATTAATTTTTTGAGGGTGTCTCTGTGTAGCCCTGGCTGTCCTGGAGAACTCAGTAGAGCAGGCTGGCCTCGAACTCACAGAGATCCACCTGCCTCTGCCTCCCAAGTGCTGGGATTAAAGGCGTGCACCGCCACTGCCCAGTTGTTTTGTTTTTTGAGACAAGGTCTCATGCAGCTCAGGGTAGCCTCAAACTCTCAGTATTTCTTCCTCCCCAATGGTTCGTTCGCTATCATGGTTCGTTCCCCACTTTATAACCATTTAAAGCCCAGAGGTGGTGGTGCACGCGTTTAATCCCAGCACTCGGGAGGCTGAGGCAGGTGGATCTCTGTGAGTTCGAGGCCAGCCTGATCTACAGAGAAAGTTCCAGGACAGCCAGGGCTACACAGAGAAAGCGTCTCAAACACCTAAAACCATTCACACCTTTGCGCCTTTAGGATGTTTTGCCAGCTTACCTGTATGTGCCCCATATGCATGCAGTGCTGGTGGAGGCCTGAAGAGGGCGCTGATGCCGCTACAGCCGGAGTGGTGGCCAGTTGTGAGCCGCTATGTCTGTGCTGGGAATGGCATCAAGTTCCTCTAGCAGAACAGCCGTAAGTGCTCTTAGCTGCTGGACCATCTCTCCAGCCCCCCCTTCCCCTTTTTACATAATTCCAGGGATCAAACCCAGAGCCTTTCCAAAGGCTAGGCTCCACCACTGAGGTACACCTTCAGGCTCACGCTTACCTTTAGTATGGATTTAAAGCTATGGAGATTTCAGGAACTTGCCGGAAACCCCAAACCCATAAAGACATAGGGTCCCAGCTATTGGAGTGCAGGACCAGCTTATGCATTGGTTTAACTGGTGGATTCTATGCCCTTTGTGGAAAACACCTGAACAAGAAGACATCAGCCCCAGCCCTGGGCACGCCTGTAACCCTAGCTTGGAAGGTGGGGGCGGGGCGGGAGAATCAGACACTGGGAGACCAGCTTCTGATACGTAGTGAGCCTGAGGTCAGACTGGGTTACCTAAGACTGTCAGGAGCAAACCACAGCTTAGCGTGAGGTCTGGCGCTTTTACTTGAATGTCTCTTTGCTCCTCTGTGAAAGTGGACCACGGTCCCCTCCTTGTCGGGCTGTGGAGCATGCAGCGCCTCTGTGGAGCGGCTGGCTTTGGACGAGGCCGAAGGTAAACCACAGCCTCTTTTCCAGGCTTGTTCTCCTGCGTCAGCCACACTCACTCACTGACCCAGCGCTCACCCGCCATCCTGGAAATGATCTTTGCCTCCACGACTCTACGGGGGGGGGGGGGGGGGGGTGGGGGGGGGGGGGGGGGGGGGGGGGGGGGGGGGGGGTGTGTGTGTGTGTTAGGTTGCTAGGGCAGACAGCCACCCTCAGGTCTGTTTCCGTGTTCCAAGAATCCAGCAGGAATAAGAACCCCAGACTTGCTGGGCTTAGCAAGTGATTTATTTATTTTTATATTTATTTATTTATTTATTTATTTATTTATTTTTCAAGGCACGGTTTCTCTGTATACCCTTGGCTGTCCTGGACTCACTTTGTAGACCAGGCTAGCCTCGAACTTACAGAGTGCTAGGATTACAGGCATGTGCCACCTCGCCTGGCTGATTTATTTTTTTACATATTATTAATTAATTCAACTTACATCTTGGTCATGATCTATTTTATTTTTATTTATGCGTTTTGACACCTTATTTCTAGACTTTGGGCTTGTTTTGGGAACCTGGAAGCTTCTGACTGATCTCAGTAGCAGACAGCCTGTCAAATGATTTGTTGTTGTTGTTGGGGCCTTTGTTTTAATTTTTAAGACAGGGTCTCACTCTGTAGACTAGGTTGGCCTTGAACTTTTGATTTTCTTGCCTCAGTCTCTGTAGTGCTCAGATTGCAAGCATGTACCAACATGGAAGTTGAAAAATAACTTTTGCTTTGTTTTATTTCAGTTTTGTAATTTAAGTCATTCATTTATGTGTGTGCATGCTTGTGCCAGAGTCCACATGTAGAGGTCAGAGGCCAAATTCCAGGAGTTCGTTCTCTTCTCTCATCATGTGGGTCCTGAGGTCATCAGGTGGCAAGTGCCTTTACCCAATCAGCCAGCTCACTGGAACTGGGTTTGTTTTGTATTTTGAGACCGGAGTCTTTCTATATAGTCCTAGCTGTCCTGAAACTCCCTAGGCCAGACTGGCCTCGAACTCACAGAGATCCACTTGCCTCTGCCTGCCTGCTGGGATTAAAGGCATGCACCACTGCAACTGGCTTAGAGCATGTACTTTCACAGCCTCTGCCCTCTCCTGCCCTGCCTGGAGGAGATAGCCTGTAAGAAACTACAGTCATGGGGCACGCATCTGACAACAGCTGAGACTTGTGCTGCTGAAACCATGCGGCTTGGACTCCTGAGCAGTTAGGGGGAAACCCTAGACACTCCAGGAACTTCCTGGTCCCAGTTCCAGGTACCAGCAGGGGGATGAGGGCAAACAGCCTTTCCTCTTAGCCAGCTGTTGTTCTCTTCTTCTGCTGGAGGCTTCCTGTGGGCCACTCCAGGGCCCAAGAGAGCGCTGGATGCTGAAGGCTTATCTTAGGGTCCTGCCCCCAGGCTTCTGATTACCTGCTGTCCCTTTAGCCCCTATCCAGGAGCTGGCGGCTGATAGTCTCCATCTCTGTGAAGTCTGCAGACTTAGGGGATCGTCAGTCTTTCTTTGCCCTCTTTCCGAGTATGCATTAATAATCATTATGTTTCCGAGATGCTGTGACAGACGGTAGCAGCTGTGCCTGGAGTAATCTTTATTTTCAAACAATTTCCCAGCTTGTTATAGGAGTCACAGTGCTGGCTTTCCCTAGGCGTTGTCATTATTGAGTGTAGCATCAGTGACCTGCCCCAAGTCCCCAGATCAGTAAGGTAGGAGGCAGGAGGCCTGGGGACCTACACACGTGTGAGGAGCCAAGTAATGCTATCGGCAAGGGGTGACTCAGGCACACACCTCTACTTAGTCCTTCCTATTTTTGTTGTTGTGGTTTGACTGTTTTCAAGCATAACACCAGACTAGAGCTGGCTGGAAGGGCTGCATCCTTAAACACTGTCAATCATCTATGAACCCTGCCCACCTGCCCCATCCTCCCCGGCTTTATCTCTAGTCTTACTCTTTACTCCAGGCTGGCCTCAAACTCATGACTCTCCTGCCTCAGCCGGGACCATGCCCTTTTATAGACAAAGAGACCAAGGCCCAGGAGGTTTAAAGGGCTCTGGTCTGTCACTATTCTTCCAAACATTGTAGAGCGGAGCATGAGTGTGTGTTGGAGGCTGAGCTTCACTCTGCCTCAGACTGAGAGTGAGGGCCCTAGTGATGGGAAGGAAAGGCCTCGAGTTCCGTCTGAGCACCATATAAACTGGGCACAGTGAAGCATTTCTGTAATCCCAGCACTAGCGATCAGAGGCTGGAGGATCAGAAGTTCAGGATCATTCCTGGCTACATAACAAATTCAAGACCAACCTGGGGTACATGAGATCCATCTCTGGCAAACGGGAAGAAGAGACAGAATCACCTGGAAGCTCCTGGGCTAACTGGCCTGGAGTACAGGGAAAAGTGTCAGAAATGAGAATGATCTTGCTGCGAACACAGGGTGAAAGGCAAAATACCAGATTCCAGAGATTGTCTTCTGGTCACCAAACAGGCACGGACGCATTGCATGCATCATAGGCCCCATGCAAGCATGTGCGCGCGCGCGCACGCACACACACACACACACACAGATGTCTAACTTTTTGTAATCAAATAGGTGGATGAGCAGATGGGCAGACAGTCCCCTTCATATTTCATTGGTGCCACAAAAAAAGAGAGGAAAAGGGAGAAAGGAAACCTCCTCATTGTTGTGTGATAGAACGTTTTTTTTTTTTTTTTTTTTTTTTTTTTTTTTTCTGGGGAGATTCAACACACTCATCTATTCAACCCACAGAGGGAGAATGGAGCCAGTTTATATGGTGCTAAGATGGATTGTATGACGAGTCCATTAAAGTACGGAGACTAGCAAAGTCCCACACGGTGAGCCAATGAATATGGGTGAGGGGTTATTTACAGGGGCAGACATGACTCATGACAACTACGTCACCAACGACCACCCCTCACAAAACTGGGAACGTAGAACACCTAGAACACCCTTCCCGACTTTTGATTGGTGAGTGCCCTTTCCAGGAGTCTCTTGGTCTAAAGCTCTGGAGGCCTCCTGGTCTAAAGCTGGGCTGTGCAAACTCACTCTGGCGGGAGACGCCTACTGAATCTGGTCAGTTTCAGGGAGTTCTTGAAGCTCCTGCGCAGGATAGAATGTTCTGATCTCACAGGAAACTGTTACAAAACATTCACCTCCCCAGGAAAGAAACCAAGGGGCGGGGGGAGGGAGGGAAGGAGGGCAGGAAGGAAGGAGAGAGGGCAGGCTCAGCATCATGCAGTGAGACCTGGTCAAACCTAGGTTTCCTAGGGACAGTTCTATTGTACTCCGCAGCTCTCAGCCATGAATAACCCTGAATCTTTGTCCAGTGTTATTCTTTAAACTTTCCTTTTTCTTTTGAATGGGGTCTCATATAGCTCAGGCTCCCAAACTCATACGTAGCCAAGAGAATGACCTTGAATTTCTGACCCTCCTGCTTCCACCTCCCATGCTCAGGATCAAACCCAGGGCTTTGCATGTTAGGCAAACACGTCACTAGCTGTGAGCCACATCCTGGCCCCTGACATAAACTTTCTTCTAGCTCCGGAGCTTATTGTAAATAGTCCTGGGGTAAGACTGGCTTTAAGCAACCTGAGATGAAGGTATGTCATAAATTTCAAAGCCTATGCCTGTGCTGGACACTGTCATTCTGCCGACATAATCTAATTTTGTACTTTGTGAGTGTTAGGACAGAAAAACAGAAGTCCTGTGTCCTGTTTCCCAGACTGAGATCCTGAGGGGCAGTAACATCCAACATCTTATCTCAGTGTGATCCTCCTAGTGACCTAGGCTCCCTTACCTCCTGACCCATCATCATCGGCTATCTTCTCTACAGTCCGCATCGTGTTGAGCATCATGCCGGCCTTGGGACTTTTCAGTAGGCTCAGTGAGGTCTTGCAGAATGGAAGATATACAAGATGCCTTTCTGTGCAAGATGCTTTGGGCAGTTGATGAACGCTTTGGATTGTCTTTGAGAAATAAATATCTAATAAGTGATCTTTGCCTGTGTGAGTCAGCTCAGTTCTTCCTCTTTCTGAATTATTTTCTGCCTGAGGCTGTATTGATCAGAACCATACTGTTTCAACTACAGTTATTCTTTAGAGAGGCACAGGGACCACTTAAATATGGCCCCTCCAAGGGAGCCTGCTTAGAGAGCTAAAGATTTTTCACTCAAGAAAAATACTGGGAAAAAAAAAAAAAATAATAATAATAATAATAAAGAAAGAAAAGAAAAGAAAAATACTGGGGGAGAATTTAAAGGGAAGGGCACATCAAAGCTGGGTACCGTGTCTGTTTCCAGGCATTAATAACCCTCCATGGCACATACCCAGGGTGTCTGCGGGGTATGGAGGAGGTGGATTCTGCCAGCCTTAACTCAGGGAGTAAGATGGTTTTGTCTCTTGCCCTAAGTCATGACCAGAACGTTTTCCTGATTCCAAATTGGAAGAGTAGCAACTGGAGAGCCCCAAGCAGTGGACACTTAACTGCCCCCATCCCTCTCCCAGCCCGTGTCCAAAGTCCACTGTGCCACCACCTGTCATGTCAGGCTCTGGGATAAGTGTGTGGCTCTCCACTCTCTCCACTGAGACATAGTTTCTTCTACCAAGAAGCCAAATTCACCATTGGTTCCCAGGATTGGAAGTTCCCCAGTCTGCTGTTGGGTTCCATTTGCAGGCTCACTGTACCTGGGGAAACCGAGTGAATGGTTAAAGAGATGCTCACTCAGTTCTCACTTCTACAGTAAACCGTCCTGGCAGGACTTCCTGCCCACCCTAGGGGACCTATGACAACAGACTGATCTAATTTCTGTAAGAATCAGAAAAGAAGCATTTCTGTTTCCCCAGAAAAGAGCATGTACAGAAGGGATTCGGACTTACTCAGCAGCCTTGACTTACCTGAGAAGGGGCTAT